TTAGCAGACTGTCATTGACAAGGTTTTGAAAGTGTAACACTGCTTTACTGTTGACTCTAAAAATAAAAAAAAGCCTCTGGGATGGATCCCTAAAGCGTTACTTTCTTTTTTCTTTCTTGTGCATTACAGACACATGCTTAAAAGTAATTTATTCTGCTTGTTTAAAGGCAGTATTCTGCAGAAGACCTCTTTCTGTTCCACCTTCTGACTTCTATTCTCTCAAGCATTGAGCCATACTCATTCAAGTTCCTGTGGTTTTGAGTTAGTAAACATGCTAAAGCAGGTAGCAGTGTATTTAATGTCATTTATTGGAGTTTGAAATAAAAGTAGCTTTAAAAAATAAAAACATTTTTCATTTTGAGTAAATCATACCAATAGGTATGCTATCCTTTTGATACTGTTTATGACCGCACTGCTGCTACAGAGCTAGCACATGACAGCTGAAAAACTAGTATTTTTGTTCTTTACAGAGTCAGCTAAGAGTGGCTATCAACACACAGAACAGATTTATTTTCTATAAATGGTTTGTCTTTAATCCAAAATTAAATATGCCATGTTACATTTTTCAGTAGATCATAAGGGGAAATAATTTTCAACAGCTGGCATTGCAGTTTAGCAATAGTGAGAAGAAAATAGTTCACTTGCTTATTGTATGTTAGACTATTGTTTGTGATAAGAGGTAAAAATCATGACTCCGTGTCAGATAATGCCTTGATATCTGGATTGATAGTGTTAGTGATTATAGCTTACAGTTTCATGTCAGAAGTCAGATCATTCTGAGAGATGGGAAATTTTAACCACTGTATGTAAGATACCATATTACCAGAAGGACAGACTGTGAAGATGAGAAAGGAAGCAAGGACGTGGTCGTATCTTAATTTTTTCTAGAAATGAACCACAGTCGCATACTACCACTGATTCCCAAAGGAATAATGGGTAGAATATTCTTGAAGCCTGATTCATTCTTTCTTGAGCTGTCAAAAAGTAAACCAAATAAATAAATCTTTTACAAGAATGCAGAGTAAAATAATTTTTTAGAAAAATATTTAGAATTTCAGATCTTAAACCTGAAATCATTAATAGATGTGGCTATCCTTACGTATGTAAGCATTGTCATTTCAGTAGAACTATGTACATCTAAGTGACTGCAGAACTAGCTCTCAGATAGAATCGGAAATACCTCTGGCTCCATGTGATCCATCACTTCCACAGGTAGGATGCAGGCTTGTGGAAGAATAAACAGGTTATTTTTTAGAAAAAACCTAAATGATTGGGGAGCCTAAGTCCCATTTTAACTTCTGAATAAGTGTAAGATAACAGGAAGTAGATCCCTTCTCACTAGACAGTGCCTGAAATTTTTCTCCAAGTTACATAATACCTGGGAACTTAAAATGACAAGATTAAGATTCTACTGAACAATCAAATGTAATGAAAAATCAATATTGGAGACTTAAAAGCATAAAAGTAAATAGAAGGAAAAAACTGATAAGAATAGGTCACACAAAAGCTGAAAATCTAAAATTAAATATTTAATTAGAACTCTGATTTTGCTTTCAAGGTAGGTGGCATTACACAAGCTATATTACAATCTTTTATAGTATTTATTTTTTTGCCAAAGAGAATACTGTTTATTTTTAACAGGCCACTTTAATATTAATACATGTGTAATAGGATCAGAACTGAAAATTAGCTAAAGATGGTAAATTTTACATTATTGGGAAAATTACAATTTTTTGTATTGTAAAAACATTTATTTTTAACAATTTACCTACATTAATCAAAAAAGTACAGCATATTTAATAATTTTACAAATTCTTCATAAAAAATATATCTCTGTACAAAAAGTTCTTTTGCACCTACTTCATGTCACAGCAGCATGTAGTGAAATGGCAAAATGAAACACTGGGAATGAAAATTAGATTGACTTGATCATAATGCCGACGTTCTTCCCCACCTCCCCACCCCCCATTTTTTTTTTTTAGTAACAGCTTTTCTTTGTTTACAAAATATTTTACACAAGAAAAAAAATTATTGCAGCTAGCCTGGAGAAAGGCAAGATGTGTGATACAAGCAGCAGTTTTTAACAGCTTTGAAGCACATAACCTGTTTTTAAAAAAAATATATAGTATGTATTATTGGCCCATCATAATGATCTGGTCAACACTGGGGGAAAAGTCTTCTGCATATATCTCAGAAAGGAGATTTCCTGGCTGCCGTTACCTGGCCACTGCACAACATTTTAAGAGTCTTGTTCTGATGAAGCACCATATATAAGTACATGCATACACAAGCCCTCTGTAAAATAACTTCAGGAGAAAGAGATCCAACCTGAACAGAAGACTCAAACATAGTGGAAAAGGAGAGGCATTTGAAGGATGCAGATAGAACTGATAAAACTACAAGAGCTTTCCTTTACTTGGGTTCCAGTCTGAAGTTCCTGTTTTATCAATACTCCAGACAAACATCTTATGATAATTTGTCAGCGTGCCCCAATTTTGAGTGCCCCCACACACTTGGGATAAACACTGCTTACATAACCGCCCCAAAACGGACCACTGTGTAAAGGATTCCTAGAATCTGTGTTCTCTAACACAAAAGATAAATTAATTTAACTATTATTTCTTCTGGGACCTTTCCTCCGACACATTCCTTGGTGTTCACAGTGAGACAGGTCACTGAAGAACACATATAGGGGTAGGAGTAGAAAACATCAATAACAGCTACTTAGCTAAAATTTTGCACTTGTTTTCAATACTCCATTTTTTTTTTCTGCCTTTGCCACTACAGAAAGACTTCCAAAGCAGTAATGCCGATTTTGAACACCTGTCAAAAACTTCAATCACACAACAGCTTCCCTCCCTGGCCCGTTGCTCCTATGGAAGCTCTTCATTTGCAGAGTGACTTCCTCTACATGAGGGAGGATCAGGACAACAACTTTGATCTGATGACTTTGTTCTTTCTCAGGAAATGCAAAGGGGTCTGAGATGTGACAGGTAAATGAAATTTACTGCACAAAAAACTCAGAAACAAACAAAAAAGAAAGCCAAAAACTACTAACAAAATGAACAAGGAACTGACGGGAAATTATTATTTATTAATTTTTTTTTCAGAGTTTCTTGCTCATATGAAGAATATAACAGCTGGAGGCCCTAAAATACTGTATTATATTGCTGGTTTTTTTCATCTAACAGATGCAGAGTTGTTAAGATGACCAAGGGTTATGTTTGAAATTTTCTTTGCATTCTGCAACATTAGCTGAAAAACCTGTTATTTGGCTTACATTACCTTTTCATTTTGTGTATAACAGCCAGACCTACACACATATGGAGTTCAGAAATATTTTTCTACAGTTTTTGATAGCAATTGGACATTAGGACAGTTTGAAATTCAGAAAACTAAACAAAAAAAAAACAACAACAACAACAAACAACCCTGAATTTTAAAGGAAAGAAAAGCAACAATCCTGGTTTCTGAGCTCAACGTGTATGACTAAAACCAGATTTTGCCTCATTATTTCCTGTAATTTTTTAATTTTAAAACTCAGTTTAATTGATCTGCCCAATGGCATCTTTTTTGTTTGTTTTCATTCAATAAAACTTGCAATTCTAGGCAAATGTTAATGATTTACTCAACCATTCATATTTACAAATGTCAAATTTTCTCTGTCAAACTGTGTAAGTACAAAAGCAGTAAGAAGTGTGTTTAAAAAAATCTGAAAAGAAACAAAAAGCAAAGATAGTTGAATATTTCTCTTTGTTCAAAGTAGAAACTGAATGACAGCTTGTTATAGACAATTTGCATTGGGTTTACATATGCTACTGTGATGTGTTTTAGTTCCATGTAACATCAGAAAATGATGTCATATTACAGGAAAAAATGGGAAAAATGCAAAAGGGAAGACTGTATTATGAGCACAGGCTCACAGGCTTTATGAGCTATCTAAAATAAATTACTATTCACATTTGTACATGGTGAGCAGCAATAGCTGCTAACCCCCCTGCTGTTAAATAGTATGATACTGACAATGGTGATTGATGACTGATTTCAGAAGAAAACAATAGTGGCAATGAAAATTTCTTAGAAATGGGCTCTTGTTCTGGCTGAAAGTCTCCAGGGACTTATAATCATGTTTACAAAGAAATTCAGTCAAAAATTGACAAAATAAATATTGTCCTCTGTCGCACAAGATTTTAACTGGTGCTAAGCATGGGGCTCATAATTTAATATTCCAGGCAAATTTATTGTGGAATGTTTTGCTTGGCAAAGAGTGAGTGAATGTCTATATACAATGAACAGTGTGTGGAAACCCTGTATATTTTTACCAGTATCTTACCCAGTCATCCATAACACTCTAGTGCAAAAAAATTGTGCATTAACATTTCACAATATAACGGCTGATTAGGAAATTGCCAAACTGCCCCGTGTGTGAGCTACACCGTAACTTTCTTTGATTTTAGCATGATTTCAATAGTAAAGCATTTGCAGGTGTATGCAACCTCAAGGAATTTTGTCTTCTCCTTCAAGAGAGCTTTATTTCTTCAGAATATTCTCGGGGATAATCAGTGGTGCTATCATTTGTCACAGTACTCAAAGGATTTATCCAAGTGCCCAGAAGAATGCATTGAAAGGCATCCAGCCACATACAAATATGAAAGTCTGAGGCATTAAATATGACAAATTGACATGACTCGGCAGTCTTCCTTAAAGTGTGCCTTGATTTGAAGCAGATGCAGCCAGGCATTTTGATCCAACTTTAAGATGAAAAAATATTCTTTGTCTGATCCCCAGAAGACGGACACGTTTTTACCAGAAAATTTAGCTGCATGTAGGCTGACAGAAGATGTTAAAGATTACAGCAGCAAAGCCAAGAGAAGAAGGGAAACTGGTATATGGCACCAAAGGAATTACTGCTTGTCCATCAGAGGTATGGCTATGAATCAGTCATATTGGGCACTGAAGGCTATACCACTGTACAAACTGTGTTCAGAGTTGTATCAAACCTCACAGCCTTTGCCTCTGTGGGTTTTAAGTTTGTGTCATACATGGGATTTTCAAATGAAGCCTGTCCATTACTGTTTTCATGTCCAGCATACCCATTGTACTGTACTTTTGGTCTTGTTCTGGGAAAAAAAGACAGGAAATTATCATTAGTAACCCTTAAAAAGAAACATTCTGCAATTATTGCAAGTTTCATCTATAATGTTTCCACTGTGTCTACACAAGTTGCACAAGTCTGTTTAACAGTGATTAAAGGACATGCATAAAGGATGTTGCAGGGCCTTAAAAAGTAAGAGAAATCTGTCTGGAAGCATGAAGAGAAGAAAACAAATTCCTAATGGGCAAATTGATGCTATAAAGCAGAGCGACATTGTAGGCAAATTGTAGGTATGCATTTGCCATTATAAAAATGTCAAAAGAATGACAACTTTGTAGCTGGTTGTTAGTGCCAAAATTGTCAGCCAAAAGTAAAGCAACGTACAACAAAAGTACAAACAAAAGTAAAGCTGGAACTGATAACATTTATAATATTTTCTGTCAGTAGTAACAATTATGATATTTTCTGATGACACTTTCATTCTTAGATTGCTAGTCTGACGATAAAGAACCCTTACATGGAATGGAAATGCTTATTCCAGAGTTACTAAATTAACATCTTACCAATTTCCAAATATATCCTTGTCTTTCTAAAGTATTAATATTAATGTCAAAACTACAGTAGCAGATTTAATAGGTGAGTTTGATTTGATCATCATTAAGCATATTGTAATTGACTTTCCTGGACATTTGGGATTTTACCTACACTGATTTTCACAGTATACTTAGGAAGGCAACTGGACCATCTATGCAAATGTTCCAATGAAGATCAATACAAATCGTCCATTTAAAAGACTTGAATGGAGTAGATGACTAGGTGTACATAGAAGGATGAGAGTGAGTAGCTCCTAATTCATCCTTTTGATAGCATCTTGGATTTTAGATGAGATAAACACCCACACCCAGACTTTATTGACTCTAATGTTTTCAAGCAGAGGTAGAAGGAACAGTTTAGTAATTTGCTGCTATCAGCTGTTTATTACTTTTCCAGAGCAGGAAGTTAGCATTGCACCACTGAAGTGCTGTAACAGGTCTCCTGGGCACCGCTAAATCTAAGTCAGCGCAAAGTCAGCCAGCTTTAATCAGGCAACTCTATGCACTAACATAGCAAGCGTCCAGAGTATGTTGCACTGATAGTGGTAGCAACCTTCTGATAAAGGTCAGTAATTCAGTTATTCCAGATAGATATGCCATAGCATGTCTGCTTACCTCCATAAATACTTCCATCAATAAACACTAATAAATACTGTGACAGAGTTTTCATATGTCCAAACATATGTAATCAGATTGGTCAAATCCTAGCTAATATTCACATAAATTTTGACATTTTAATATCAGAGGATAGAAAGAATTATCTTCAAGTAACCTCTCGTCTATTTTAGATAGTGTTTTACTACCATAAAGAACATATCAAAACTTCAAGGAAGTTTACATTTTTATGCAAAGTTCTGTTAGAACACATTAAGCCAGTAATTAAATGAAAAATAAAACAGAATTGTGTAGACTTTCTGCTACATCCAGTAAAATGATATCCTATTATATTATATTTTACTACTTTCACCCTAAAATCTCTTAGCATCTAAAAGTATCTAAACAAATATACAAAAAAGGTCCAGCATATAATTTTATGCATGTAATTGAAATAGGGCAAGAAAGTCAATGAAGGAGTGCAAAATGTAGATGCTTGCTGCTTAATAAATGTAAAACAATTTAGAAAAGAATCTCATAAATAAAATTGTCCCCTAAGAAGACCTTCAATTTCTCTGATATAGAGAGCCTCTAGGGGCATAGCTACCATCACACCATTGGGAAAATTTCATTTTGTTATTCTGGTTGTTAAGATAATTTTGAGAAAGTCCCTTCAACAGTCACAGATTCTGTTCTCTTGCCTTTGGAACGTCCTTTATTTGGAAGAGAATACAGGTAACCTAAAGCTACTTTACATCAGTAATCAACTTGTTGATTTTCTGATGACAATATGACATTGATAATGCCTCTAAAAACTGTGGTTTAATGGAAGAAATTATTTGAAAATATAAAAAAGGAAGAACATTCTTTGAAAGACTGTTATGAGTAACATCTCCTTCTTCAAGTATCTGAAATGCATTTAAATTTGATTAAGGTAAGCAGAACTGCAATGCTACACCAGCAATACCATAAACTTTGGGATTACAGCTGCCTGTCTGAAGACTAGGTTTTATCTCTCTTAAATACATATATATTTATACTAAACAGAAAACATAATATCCGCTGCTCATGTAAGACATAACAAACTTCATAGAATAAACCACAAAATGTACCCCTATGTCACAATACAGTTTCATTAGTTTTTTCTTAGTGTTTGACTCCTCTTTCTAAGAGCAAAGGGTCAGCAATGTTCCCTTTACATTCCATCTCTTTGCCTGATCTGAATGCCTGTGCTTTCATGCTGCTGTTTAGGTTCGCCCCATTGCAGAACAGGAGCAATCTGAGAATGCACGTCTGTAGGCATCAGAAAGGCATCTTACAGAAACATGTTCTGAGACAGAGTTCACAGCTCTTCCCAAGCAGTTTTTTCAACAAAAGGCTATATAACATTTCAGGACATGTATCATTTTAACTGAAGTTCACAAGTTCAAGCCCCACTGCAATTTCCTTTTCCTAAATCATCTAATGCTGAGGTAGGTAGATAGTCCAGTCCATCACAGAGCAATGGTGGACTTCAGTTTGTCTATGTGATTTCTTATAATCACTAAATACTTTTGGTGTCATGATTATAGAAAAAAAGTTTTAAAAGCATGTTATTAAAAATTGTAATATCTGTTAAACACCATTTTGCAAACTGTAAATAACACAAGGAGGTCAGAGGGTATTTTAGCTCGATATAAAAAAATAAAAATTGTTGCGGAAAGCTCTTGCCAAATAACACTCAGGATGAACAAATGTTCAATAGATACATAGACACCAGCTTTTAAGCCAAATTTCATAGAAGATGGTTGGATATATTCTATTACCTAATGACACATAAAAGTCTCACAGGAGCTGAAGTGATACCAATTTTAGCAGTATCCACTAGCTTATTCAGCATGTACTCTAAGTAGTCTCATTATGGGCTGTTCCCTTATGGGATTTATGGATTTTTCAGCTTGTATAATTAACATTCATAAGCATTTTGAAAGCAGCAGCATACATTCAATTTAATAAAGCATTAAAATGAAAGAATGAAACATGTGACCCGAGATTTCAATCTGATTCAGCCTAATGAACCAAGAAGGTTGATAGTTCTTCGCTCCTTAACACAGTGACTCATTCTTCTAATTGTTCACCATTAAGAACTGCCCTGCACTGAACCCCTTCATGGGAATACTTAGAAATATTCTTTCTAGAGAAAATATATTCTTGAATGCTTTAGTATTGTGTTCTCTAGTTACACTTACCTATCAAAATTAAAAAAAACAATGCTTATTAAGTTACTTAATAAATAACATTTACAATACCTGTGTTTGTAGAGGTAAAATGCAAACCCTGATAATATTAGAGCAAAGAATGGTACCAGGATGGCAGCTGCCACAGAACTGCTGTTTGTACCATAATAGTGATTTGAAAGGTCTGTGTCTGCACTTAAAGGACCTGTAATGAAACAAAAAGGGCAGAAATAAAATTCCCAGGTCTTCTATCTCACAATTCTCTTTTGTTCAAGATTGAAAGAAAATAAATAAATTATAATATAAAAATATTAAATAAATAATTCTATTTAAAATCATGAAATAAATAGCATGCATTTTTACAGTATAAGTCTTGTTAGTAACACTTAATGATGTATCAATAACTATCAAAATGATTTAAAAACAGTATTCAGCAATTAAAATAATTATGAACTACATTTCTCATGATTCACCAATGTAACAAAATTCAGCCATTTATCTTCTACAAAAAAAATATTTAATACCGCAAAAAGTATTCTATGCTTGCAACCCTAATGTTCAGCTGAGAAACAAGCAGCGATGCAAGACCACATCAGGCATGAAAAAGGAAGAGAGCTAAGGTAACTGCAATAAACAAGAATGGTTCTGCTTGGCTCAGTAGAAGTCCCAAGACTGTGCAGCTGTGTGCATGTCCTGGCTGCTTTACAACACCCTTTTAGGTGCGAGATCTGAGCACGTTTTAGAGCCTGTGACAGCTGCGTTTGCACTGGGATAAAACTGAGGTGCAGAGAATGCAAAAGCAGTCACCTGTGGCATGGCTTTGCTGGGTTCCTGTTGTGGAGAAGCAGATAACCCCGACTGTAATTAATCTTGTTAAATTGCTTAAATAGGTGGCCAACTTGACAATTCATAATGTGAAGGATGAAAAATAATTTTATAGTGAAACATACAGAAAATTTTCACAGAAAAAAATATATTTTGAGAGCCAACTCCATGTTGCCAGTTTGAACTCAGAGCTCTTCAGAGGGCCATATATAGATCCTGTCCAAGGAGGAGAGACCAGGACAGAGGGAAAGCACAGAGATGATGGGGCTAGGACAGATATCTGGGCTTGTCATTCTGGGATATTTTTGCTGATGCTAGTAGGGAATAATAGGAGACACTGGTGTTTTCCACTCAGAAATGCTCCAACCCACCAGCACACTGTCTCAAACACCACGATGCTCTAATTGATAGCAACAGCATCAACCAGTCTTTTTAAGACTCTGGCACAGAGCAGTTATATAGCAGTTATATAGCAGAGAAGCAGAGACACACCCATTGCACTGCTGTTCTACTAAAATATCCAAATAAGTTGCAAAATTGAGACAGAAGCAAACACTTCTCCTAAGATTTCTTACAGTTCAAGCTCAACGCAAAAGAGGAACAAGGTAAGTTTCTGTTCTGTCAGACATTTTTAAAACTTACATGTTTCAATTAATAATATTATAATACATTTTCTGCAATTCGTTTTAACAAAAGTATTAAATTCCAGGAAGTAATTAAGTTCCCTTTAAAATGAAGACAGCCCCCACAGGAATTTCAGAATTGACAGCTTTGATCACTAAACATAACAAAATACTATACTTCAACATTTTTCACTGCCATGATCTTCTATTACATTTCAGACTCCTGTATTTTTCTCTGCAGAATTGGTGAAGGCAAACCTTTTCAAATTAATAAACCTACTACTGTGGTAGATGGCATCATGTTGTGAGCTTTATCACACTATGTTTTAGAGTAGAACCAGTGTATTATAAAAATCTTTGGACTTTAGTAATCCAATATTTGTCCCACACTCAAGGTGTGGAAGGCCTCTTGGCAAGATTTGTATTTGTATTGTATTGCACATGTACTGGACATTCTCCATTAATCTGAATTAAAGACAGCAGTTACCACAGTTAAGAAAAGTTTCGGAAATTAATTTAAATTTTTCTCCTTTGAATTTTTTATTGGTTAGAAGTCATAGAAGTTTAAAAAACTTCATGCAGTTATCAGTCTTCACCCTTTACTATGATGATCCCCAGCTGTTTTTCCAATTATCTGGAGTAATTAATAAAAAATATGGAAATAATCAAATTCATTGTGGTCAGCTAATATCATCAAAAGCCTGGAAATAATATTCTCTTATTTAAAATTCTAATCAAGTACTGAAACAAACAGAAATATGTATGATCAACAAACTCTTAGTTTATATCTCAAAGCTATTATCATGGCACATACGATAGATACATTTTAATGTATAAGTAGCAGAAAAATTATAAAATATCTAAGTAGAATTCAGCTAAAAGAAAACAGTAGTTTGAAATTAATAATAAGCAATTCTTGGTATGAAATTTTGGTGTGGAATTTTTCAAAAATTTAAATACAATTTTTTTTGTGTAACTGAACATTTAAAACAGGGCACAAACTTACATTAAGATAATTTCTTTTTAAGTAATCTCTGTTTGATAACTGACCCACATTTAATACTTAGTATTCAAAACTCCTGTTGGATGTAACTGAATATTCTATAGTTTTTTAATTACCACATTTAGGGTAACCAAGCTTGAAATTTTTAACTGAAGTTTATAAACTTTAATTGGCCTTGGAGCAGTGTTGACCAGGTTTGAACCGTGCATTGGCTGTACTGAGTTTTTGCCTTTATAGATACTAGAAAATAGTACTTTTTATAGGAAGAGCATTTCCTTATAATTGTTTGGATTTTTCAAATGCATTTCCCCTGTAACTCCTAGCCCAGGGTTTCAACTGTCTGGTATCCGTATAGCATGGCTGAGTTTTACTAAGAGAACTGCTGTTGAAGTGGGAGAAAGTGTGACAGCAAAAGCAATGCAAGATAAGAAAAGTAGAATTACAGGTAGAAGAGCAATTTCTGAGATAAGGACGGTTATCAGCTCAAGGATTTAAGAGAACAAATACCGACATGGAAAGCAAGTCAGCAGCTTCCAACGAGCAACAGAGGCTGGACCTTGTTCACCTGACTGATAACTGCTGGATAGCAAACACTCTTTGGGTACCTCATTGGGTGTGAGGAGTGTATTAATATATAGCCTCATAGCTCATTAGTCCTAACTACCTATTTGTGCATTAGCTACTCTGAAGCCATGAGCATCATGTTCAGATGTAGAGTTTCTTCGTGAATGACAAAAGTTGTGTGAAATGGTCTGGAGAGGAATGATGATACATTTATAGAGTGAAGTTTAAAATTCACGTGTCATGATGTTCAAAGCTTTTAAGAGTCAATCATTTTCAGTAAATTAACATGTATTTCACAGCCATTGATCTAAAATATCACAGATGCAAATTAATTATTTCGATTTCATATTTCTTGTCAATATTTGTTATCTCAATCTAGACAAGCTAAAAAGTACTTTGGAGAAAAGGAAGGAAAGAGAAGTGGGTCATTGTATTTTCCCAGAGGAAACAAATAGAGGAAAATAATAATTTCGTGAATTAAGTTTCTATTCTCACAAAGCTACATTTTCAGACAATTTTAAATTCCTGATTGGAATGAACAAAGCCAAGATAGTAGAATAAATGTCTTCTAGAACTGTAGTGGTGAGGCACAGGCACTCAGCAATTACAGAAACTGAACCCAGCCACAGAGTTACAGCCTTTAGAAACCAAGTTATTAAAACATAACAAAACAAACAAAAAGCTCCCAGCAATGACTGATTATTTGTCAAAACAGGTTAAATAACTTGGTGTCACAACTTGGGCCCCTTAAGCAGGCTCAGATACAGTTCTAATTCTCTTGGCAGACTGATAACAGAGAACTCTTTGTCCTCTAGGTTATTCTCTAAGGCTACAAGCAAACAGAATTGCTTCTGAAAGAGGATAAACAGGACTTGGAAACACAAGTTCTTCCTGTTTTCATATCATTAAGTTCCAAGATTGAGTATATCCACTGAGCCTGGTATTTCTCTAGTATTGTGTGATAGGGAATCCTTCATCAAACAGATTGGTCTTTCACATTTAACTAAGTATTTTTCAGTAAATGCTGTTCTTTGAAGTACACTTGCAGGTGAAGAATTTCTTATTACATTATGTATGCACCACTGCATGCATAGTTTATGCATACTTCTGGCTTAATGTAAAGGCAGCAAATAATTTAACTTCCTGAAGAAACAGAAATATGTTAACTCTTCAGCTGGAGGACATATGAGATCATTACCTCAGCAGAATATTCATGAACAGAATAGATTTAAAAACCAAAGCAAGTTATCCTTGAATATGAGAGGATATGGGTAAATATTACGACCTTTGCTGGCTGGAAAATTTCTGTTTCCTTTTAGCTGTAGGTTCTTCAATAGAGAACAAGCAACCTATAGACAATCAGCACCTATTTAGCAACCAGATAAAGAAATCTTCTAAAAGAGACAGTATCTGCATTTGTAGCAAGCTCTCTGCTGAGATATCAAAGCAGAAGACCAGAGGCCCTCAGCCTAGGAACGCATGTGTAACTTGGACACTTCAGCTCTTTCCTAGCCTTGGGTATATACAAACTGAGCTCTCATATTGCAACTCTGAACAGTGATACAGACAATGTTTTCCACTACTGTAGTATACATGTACTGAAGAAGGCAGAAACTGTCAAATTGTCATTCTGTTTGTTCTTCATTTACCTCCATGAATTATTCATTTCACTGCTAAAACACATGGATCCAAATTTTTTTTGGGTAGCAGGCAAACGGGTATCTTTTTTGGCCTGGTTTAAGAAAAAAACAAACACAAAAGCACCCACACCCCACCTCCACCCCCCGAAACAAAACAATCAAACCATACTCTCACTGTTTTGAGATATCAAAGGCTGCTAAACAAGAGAGATGCTTGAACAAATGTTGATGCTCTACTTTTACAGCGTGATTGTTAAAACCAGAAAGAAAAAGCAGCTTAGATATTACAGTGATAAGGATTACATGAAAGTACAGGCAGACAAATAACCTGTCCCACACAAGAGTTTTCTCTGAAGACTGGAATTGTAATCGGCTTCAGTAATTGGGAGTTCTTAGGCTGACTCAGAAGAGTAAGGTTTCGGCCCCTTGTGACTAAGCAGATATAGCAAATTGAGAGGTGGTCAAGATGAGCAAATTCATAGGATAACTGCTATTACAGCAGTTAATAGAGCAAAGAAATACAAGGGAGATTTGGCAGAACTTTAAAGGGCATTGGGTACAGCACCAATGAAGTTAATGGAACCAAGGCAATTTATAAAATAGAGATAGAGTCTGCTGCAGATACATTGGCTAGGCTGTCTCCTCCTCCAAACCCAGTACTTTGCTGTATGTATACTGTGCTTTGACCACTCTGCAGCAGTTCCAGGATCGAGAAATGCAGATTATCTACACTTGGTATTTGCCAAAACTATTTAATGAGTAAATGTCTTGTTAGTTTTTAATGACAAAATTATTTTGTGGGTAAAATAAGTATTTTTTCATCAGCTGCTGGAGCTCTTCAATCCATAGCTATAATATATACTTCAGTCACTCATTTCGTATTTTTGACAGAAAAGTAGAACTCTATCTAAATACATATACGTTCTGAAAAGAACACCCGCCAGCAACAAGCACTCTCCAAGTGATGCTATTAAAATCAGTCAGTGTTGGTTCTGTCCTTTTAATTTCCTATATGATTCTGATTGAAATTTATACATTTGAGCAGAAAATGTCTTTGCATTGCATGATACCCCAGTTACTTTCAAAATGACATTCACAGAAAAGCAAGCAGTGGCAATGGCATTCTCTGGAAGAGCATCCTGTAGTCATCTTATTAGGTTGCTATACTAGAAAAAATGAGATAGTAACATGTTAAGCAGAGTTAAATTGGGATTTGAACTGTATATTTGAAATATGCATATTTCGTTATATTTTTTATAATAGCAATGGCATGAAATAAACACGCTTACTTCAGATAGACAGCTGAGTCATTTGCTGGATTCACTCTTGCAAGACCCAAAAAGATTATACATATTAAAGCACTATGAATGCATTTACCTTGTCTTTGGAGCATAAATTTTCCAAAGTCTTTTCCATGTATATCACCTTGATAGGTGAAAACACCCCTTTCAAGACCTGATGATACCTAGAATATGTTGAAGCAGAAAAAAAGATTTCTGAAACAAGCAAATAAATAAGAATGTTTAGCCATTTGTTTTCATTTTTATCTTTTTATCCTTTGAAATATTAGTGAACTCTCTATGCTTATACAATATTTATCATTTTAAGTTTGCAACAGTATTAAACAAAGTTACAAAATAATACCTGGAATGACTATCTAATGTATATTTCAGGCTTTTAAAATTGTTCAACTGGCACACATAACTGAATTAGTATATGGATATAGAAATCCATGGAATTGTCAAATTTAAAATTATTTTCCATAGAAAGCATCATAAGGCACAAAGGAGAACTGCAAAGAGTAAAATAACTCTCTTTTTCTTCAAGATTAAAAGTAATTTTTATTACAGTGAACTATTTACTAAACCAAAAAAGGACAATATTTTTAAACATAAAATTCCCAGTCTCATCTAAGAAAACAAGGCAAAAAGACAGCAAAATATGTTGATTCACTCCATCTTCCCCTTAGTAAACTAAAAATTCCCATGGGAAAGTGACAGATAGATAGAAGTTTGTATACATATTTTTGAAAAGAAAAATAAAGTGATCTCTACACTGACATCTAGAGTTCTGTATTCCATATCTGTAATATAAAAAGTTGGATAGAATTATACAAGAAATCACAAATTACTTCAAACTACTGCAAGCTTTATGCATAGCAGTGGTTACTTACATAACCATCTAGTGCCCAGTTGTCGTTTTCAAACTTGCTTACAAAAATATCAGTAGGTCCTTTAAGCTGAAAAACTTTCAAGAGCAAATGGGCTTCTTCCTTCTTGTAAACACCTATTACCATAAAGGAGGTAACAAATTTTCAACCAGTTTGTCCAAATATCGTTTCAAAGCTAAGAATATCACTTCAGAACTAAAACATTTTGTAGAAAACATTTTGTAATAACAGAATTCTATAACCTGGATAAACTAAGATTTAAAGTGCTGTAATAACAGGATCTTATTTTACTGATCTTTTGCCCACATCGTATTTGATAGCAGGATGCAAAGATGGTTTGTATTGTTTAATTTTATACATAAATTGGCAAGGATATTTGTCTTTTCATATAGTATTTCAATAATTCTAAATAGAAATAGAACTCCTTGCCTGGAATTTCCTTGAACTGGAAAAACTGGATTTTACTCACATCACCACAGTATATTGCTGTAGTAAATATTGATAGAGCAGTGAAAGAAAATTTGCTATTTGGCAGCCAGCTACTGAAACTCTCTCTGAACTCTTGGCCTTAAAACATACTGATAGTTGATAATGCTCTTTTCAAATATAACTGTGATCAGAGGCTAAATCAGAACTTCACAGTCAGATTTGCGGAAAGGACTGCACAATGTTGATTAAAAGATATGTATAATTTATGAAGAAAATTAATTATCTATGCCTTTTTTATGTTATGCCATTATCAAGATCATATTGTTTTAAAGCAGATATTAATCACTATTGAATAATGGAGCTTTTCAATGATACAGTTCTTAAAACACTTATATACATTTCAATATTACCGGTGAGTTCAACACATCAATACTATCCAACAGTCTGAGATGAAAAAAACCTATCTCAATATTTATTTGAAATGTAAGAGGAAAAATAGATGGGTGACTGCATATAAATTGACTGAAATATGTGCAGACCATTACATTAGGACCTCTCCTTTTGTAAAATAAGCAGAAAAAGCTTTTTGTTTCATTTTGTGTTTGGCAGAAAATAAAAGATTGAACATATGAAAAAAATTTAAAATAACAGCTTTTTTTAACACCAAATTCTGAACCTACCTGATAGTTTGAGTTGTATGTTGGATGCCTCAATGAATGTGGCATTCACTTTGCTGGTTGTAGTATTGAACCAATCAACAGTCAGAGTAGCAGGCTGTCTTTTTCCTAAATATTCATAAAACCCTTTCCACAGTGAATTTATAAAAAACACATCTGAGGGAACTAAATAAAAGTGGGCAAAAAAGAAACAAAGAAAGGAGTAAACTACAACAAAGTAGAAATCTTTCTAGCCATACTTATATTCTTCATTTTTTTCTGTTACAGTATCAATCTACTGATCTAAGGAGGTATTACAGTAAAAAATTTTCAATAGTAAGGACAAAATATCTAATGACCTTTCCACACAATTGTCTATAATATACTACACTTGTCAATTACAGTGTATGTTCTTAAATAACCTCACATTTCACAGCTTGTGTGCTTCAGTGAATATCCCCAAGACTATGAAAAATAATAGACTCTTGCTCTAAAACCCGGTAGCCTTAAGGCATGATGAAAAAAAGGAGAATGATATTCTGAAGTCAAGGATTCCTGGAAGGAGACACTGTCTTAAGTCATCCCTTTTGTTTCATGAATCTATTAAAGCAGCATTCTGTGTGATTTTCAACAGAGTATCAACTGAATATGCAACTGAATTCACTGAATTCCAGAAACAGTTTAGTACAAGGTTTTTATCAGTCATTTTTAGACTCCACATCTCTCCATACAATATTACTGCACCTGTGAACAGTGAAGTTGCCAGAGCAGGGAACCTTTTTGGTTTAAAATAAAGGTCTGTTTTTCAGAAACTGCAGTTTGAATAGTCTGAAGTAAAAAAAAACATAAAATGAAGCATGAATTATAAGAAGGAGCATATGTATTTGGGTCTTTTTTAATATTATTGGTATTTTTCCTCTATACAGAAAAAATAAATGATTTACAGGTCATTAAAGGTTGTATTTTAAATATTTGGCTAAAATGCCAACAGAATAGAAAAAAAATGTCTTACTCAACAGTATCTGCAGTATTAATATTATTATACATTAAAAAGGATATAGTAAAGAGAAAACATTTCTTAGGAGATGTTTATTTTATGTCAGATACATTTACAGGGTGCTAATGTCTTGAACATTATTTTCTCCCCTACACATTGCTTATTTCTCCCATATACTTTGTTGTTATAAAATCTGGGGAAGGCTTCCTTCAGTCATGACAGTTAACTGTTGTCTGAAAGTGGCAGCACCCAGTGTTTCCTGGCAACTTCTGACAAGTAAAAATAGACATTTTTCCACTTACTTCAAAGTTTTTTCTAGCATTACAATTTGAGAAGTAAAACTTTAAGAATCAAAATAAAACTTCATAAAAAGAACTGTTTAACCAGTCACATGATATCTTGACAAAATGAAAGCCCTAGCAACTATTAAAATTCACCCTTACTATCCATGACAAATGATACTTGTTAAATAAATGAAGACTGATATTACAGGAGTGTTTCACACTCTTCTCACTAAATTCTTAACATAAATTATTGGATTTTTTGCATTTTATCAAACTCTTAGCACTTGTAAAGGTAGCTATCTATGTTGAAGGAAATTTATCAGTGTAAGTATCCTGGGTATCCATTTTGAATAAATTCCATGGATATTTCCATCCCCACCTAATCATTGACTTCAAAAATTAGTCAAAAACAAACCCAGGTCAATGTATTTCCAACAAAGCATACTGACGGGCAATATATCTGAAAATCTGATGACTGATTACCTGTTGACTGTCTCTTAATCATATTATTACACTTTCTAGTACGCATTTCATAAAGAGGAAGGATAATAACCTCTTTAATGGCTTTTGCCTTCAAATTGTGCAAAAGCCACAAGGAAATGTTCAAGCTCAATGTGGCATGATTTGAAAACATCATTAGCATGTTGCTGTACCACCACTGGATTCCAAGTTAGTGGAGACCTACCACAATGCTTTGAGTGCAACAGCTTCAGAGAATCTTAAACGCTCCCTTTCCAAAATAAAACTCAGTGTAGGACTGGGGCTTTACACAAGGGAACCTCAAATTAATACTGAAGATCTGAAGCATTAAATTTCAGTTGGTATCACAGTCCTTCAAATTCATAAATTTCCTGCAAATATATGAATTCTCTAAAGGGTCTTTCAGACTCTTTTTCCAACATATTTCCCATTGTTGTTTGCTACCAATAGCAAATTTGAAACCTGACACAATTTTTTTTATTATTTGTCTTTGTTTTTAATTAAAAATATGTGTCTGAAGTTATTCTTATGAAGGTGGACGTCTAGTATAACTGGTATGAACCTAACAGGTACTATATAAGACTTTTATAAAGGAGCAGACACCATATTTCTTTCATCACATTCAGTATCTTCAATATCTAGTTTCCCTGACCACACTAACTCTCAAAAATAGCTGTTAAACTTTGTGATTCTCTTCTGAGAAAACTGACTCAGTATTTACAGAATTTTCACTTACTGAAGGTGGATAGAATCAGTACAGTAAGAAAACAGAAAAATATACTGCTTCCCCAGTCATGTTTTTGTAAAAGCTTAAAATGTAAGTGCTGCAGTCCTATGCATGCTGCTGAGGAATTGGAGTGGCTCTGACCCAATTCTGCCAAGTCCTTGACAAGGTCCCTGTCTTTCCCACCCACTGTGGGAAAATGCAGAATGAGAAAAATTAATTGGGCATTATTACACTAATACTGCGCCAACTGCAGATTCTCCTCCTAACATGACAGATGGGGAAAGCCATGGCTACTCATTAAAACACCTTCCTAACTGTGCTGGTCTTGGCTGGGATAGAGTTAATTTTCTTCATAGTACCTAGTATGGGGCTGTGTTTTGGATTTGTGCTGAAAACAGTGTTGATAATACAGGGATGTTTTCATTATTGCTGAGCAGTGCTCACACAGAGTCAAGGACTTTTCTGCTCCTCACACCACCCCACCAGCGAGCAGGCTGGGGGTGCACAAGAAGCTGGGAGGGGACACAGCTGGGACAGCTGACCCAAACTGACCAAAGGGATATCTCATACCATATGAAGTTGTGCTCAGCATATAAAGCTGGGGGAAGAAGAAGGAAGGGGGGGATGTTTGGAGTGATAACGTTTGTCTTCCCAAGTAACGGTTACATGTGATGCAGCCCTGCTTCCCTGGAGATGGCTGAACACCTGCCTGCCCATGGGGAGTGGTCAATGAATGCCTTGTTTTGCTTTGCCCACGAGTTTTCTCACTTTTACCCTTCAGATTCCCTCCCCCATCCCACCGTGGGGCCCTGAGCGAGTGTCTGTGTGGTACCTAGGTGCTGGCTGGGGTTAAACCACAACACTAACTATTTTTGCAAAGACTGTACAAAGCAGTGAGAACCAAGGGAACCACACACAGTATTGTAGTTCTTAGACTTCACATGGGTAATGTGAGAATTCCTTAGTTGCAACTTATACTCTATTACAATTTACAGTACTGTTGCTTATGAAAATATTAACTCTGGAAAAAAAATAGCTATGTAATGAACAATAATAAGCACAATTTGTATTCACACATCAAAAACTGGGAATACAGAACACTCTTCTGTTACAAAATTTCTCGTTTAGAAATATTAACTTCATCCCATTTAAAATACACATAGCAGCAAACAGAATTCTACCAAAAGCCAGGATAGCAAGGTAAAGAAAATGCTCCAAAATACATTGTGTTCTATACTAGAGGAAATTCACAATTTATATAACATAATAATAGTACAGACTTGGTTTTTAAAAACAGCTCAAAACATTTCCTTGTTAATTACTATCATTTATTACACAGTTTTAGTTGTCTGCTTACCATTACTGGCATTTTCAATCATAACTTTTTTTTTTTAAATGCCTTTCAAATAGTACTTACTTATCAAAAGTACTTACGAGGGACATGATGTAGTCTGAATTGATACTGATGGTCAACATAGTGAATATATTTGGAGACTTGGTCTATATTTTAATTTGTCATTGAAACTTCAAAACCTATGTGTTAGCAGATTAACGCATACCTTAGGTGTTCAGTGAGGTGAATCCTCCAATAAATGAAGACTGTATATTAATTATAATGAATGCACATTATATCCTGCTTTATGGTGAGTCTGTAGAAGTAATGTATTTGAGATGAACTCATTTATGGTTTCACCTGACACACTCACTAATAAACTCACCAGGAAGGTTAATTATTAACAGAAATACCTTTTTATCCCATCTACTCTATAGAGTCCTTCAGTGAACTGCCATGAGTGTGAACCATTAATCTTTTTTTCCCTGCAGCTTGTTAAAGTTCAAAATACAGAGTTGCAAGCTCATTTATTTGGTGAAAATGCTGTTCATTGTTAAATACGTAAGTTAAAAAAAAATTTAAAAATTAAGCCTTTCATTTTCTGAAAAGGATTGAACCTAGAAAGATCTACATAAGGGATTTCTCAGATGTATTTGTCTATTTTGTCACTGGCAGGAGGAAAAGGTTCATGACGAGGCATAGAAAACCAGTAGTAAGTTTGCCTGCTGTTGGTGGTCCACAGAGTTTAGGAAACCCTATCTCAGATTACCTTGAGAGTTTCCATAAAGTGAAGGCCATCAAAATTTCCAAAACTGTTTTTGGGGTTATTTTTGTGGTTTCTCACCACACTTGCAATGTAAAAGACAGACCTTTGATTGAAACCAATCCCTGCAATTATAGTCTACGCTCATTATAAGGCTCTCAATTATAGCAATCTCTCTGATATAAAACTACTTCAGATATGGATTTTGTGTATATATGCTTTATCTTTTTGGCTTGACAGGTGTTTTTGTGCAATACACAAAAATGGTACTGTACAAATTAAAAAAAAAATTTGTTTGGGAAAGAATATCATAGAACAGGTTTTACATGGCACTTGTTATGAAAGACCTCACCTTTTATATTCCTTTGAAATGAGTAGTAAATGCTTGAGTTAAATATTGGAAATAGTTTTATTATCCATAACAATCTAGGGTGTAAATCAATTTATTTAAATCTAAAACTCTTCTTGTATACAAACCTGGAGTTTTAGTTATTGTTTCATTAACTTCTCTCACTCCTTTACCTACAAGTAAAAAGACAAATTATCATTTTCATGAACATATTTGTTTGGGTTTTTTTAATAGAATGTTAGAACAATGCCTGATGGATGCAATAATCTCTTATCCAATGGAGCCATACTTAAAACAGAAATAACTGGTCTTTAATACTCTATACATTCAAACCTATACACTTACACAAAACTATCAGAAAATAATTTAGGTAAACAACATTTTTACTATAGAAAGTTGCCTGGTTAGCCAATTATTCCATATATTTAAGCCTAAAATTTTTATATCAGTCCCAGTGCTATAAAAGAGAGCCTTATAGAGAGGACAAATGCTATATCTAATTATGAATAATAGTATATTAAATATAGTAAAAATTATGTTAATAAAGATTCATACATTTATGACACAAACCAGCAAAAGGCAGACAGCTGGATTAAAATGACAGGATCAGATATCATGGGAAAGGATCACAACTGGTGTCATTTGCTGTATTTCTGGTACACTTAGCAGAGTTATGTCCATTGACCCCAGATCAAGTTCTGACCTCATATCATTAGCCACTTTAAAAAAAGCTAATGTCCTGTAGAAAGATTTGGTCCTGAATGTTTTTTGCTTTAGGGCCAGAACTTCACTGATTATATTGATAAAGTGCTAAGGAGGCACAAAAAGTATGGGGCACTCAAGGAGAATTATACCTAAAGACTGTAAGCTAATAAAAAAAGAATTCTTGCTTATAGATACTTTTTTCTGTATTTTATCTCTAATTTTAACAAAAAGCATACAAGATCATTTATCTCAAATTATTAATTATATGGTACCCATGGAAAATCACCCCTTAGGGAACTAGAATGAGAAGATAAATTTTTATGCATAGGTCATATGTTTTGATAACAAAGAAGTCTAGCCATACATTAATCAAAAATCAAACATTGTTCAAAACCCAAATCTACTTAGTGTTCTTTGACATATTAGAATTAAAAATCATGTTGCAAACATCTTTCCCATGGCATCTGACTCTTTTTCCTTTATTACTCTTTTAAATATAATTTTGCTTTATTTTTCTGAACTGGGAATGTATAGCCATGTTTATCCACATGTGAAGAGCAAATTTACCCTCATAACTATATACTTAGAGCTACTCTAGCAAAACCATATGAAATTTACACAGGTATAAAGAGAAGTGGAATCTGCTGCAAAGATGTATTTTTTAATTTATTTTATTATTAATTTTTATTTTAGAAATTTTTCTTAGACAAAAAGCATACCTGAATGAATCTAAAAGCCAAGCTATAAAATAACTTTTGTTCCTAATAGAAAATCATACATTAAACACTGGATACATGGAAATAGTCTCTAAAGCTGTGACATAAAGATAAATACAGTTAAAATTACTATTTTATATTGTTTAGGTTTTGTTTGCTGTTGTTAGGGGTAAACTTATATATGTGTGCCTGTGCATTTACACACACATATGCCTATGTTTTCCTCCACGAGTTCTAGATGCCATGCTCACTTTTTTTTTTCTGTTTCTTTCATAAAGTAAAAGCTGTTGTGTCATATGCATTTTTTAAATAGTAAGTGGAAAAAAATAATCTTACTCTGTAAAATAAAAATGTCAGGGAAAATGAAATCCAACAACAGGGCCCAACACATCGCTTGAATAATGACTTACTTTTACAAATAGGTGATTTTCCTGTCCATTTCATATCTGGTTTACATGTCCGATGCTCTGATCCACCAGCAAGAAAAAATCCTGGTTGACAGGTATACACCAAAGTATATCCTAAAGTAGGAAGATCTATTGCTCTCACATCTACGTGTGCCGGTGTTTCTGGCTGCCTGCAAGCATGAGCTGCAAAGGGTTTTTTAGAGTTAGAAAAAGTGGTGGTAAGCAGTTTCCATAGAATTAGAGTACGTAATTTGAAATAAATGCATGCCAACTTATTCCCTTTCGTTATGTAAACTTTGTACACCTCTTAGAAATGTCAGGTAGTTATTACCTGTAAAAGTAACACTCTGAGCGTATAGTTATATTATTGTGTGAAGATGGAAATGATACTATCATGTATTTTTAAACAATACACCAAAATTAAGTCATGATAGCAAACAGAGAAGAGCTAAAATGAAGGGAAGAACATGCCGTTGTACATGTTGCAATGGTTGGTTCTGTGAATTATTGTACTGTCACAGCTGCAAGCATCGCTTCCACTCAATGTTTTAAAGAGCCTTGAAAATTACAGAGCAGTTATTGTGCTAAATAAATTCATTATAAATTTCAATTGAAATAAAGGTTCCATAGAAAGGCTTTGTCATAGTACATTGATTATAACAGATACAGTTGCTCAGTATGCTTCTTTCACTGGGCTCCATGGTGTTCATTTATAACAACTCTAAGATAATTTGAAATAGGATAAGAATCAAAGGTCATTCTAATGAATTATTTTTACTTTAGATCAGTCTATTTTATTACAATAGTTATTTGATGTCCTCCAACCCATGCAGAGCTGTAAATATACTAATAATTTGCATACCCATATAGCCCAGAAAAGATGAATGTCACTGAGTCCTAGTTTACGATTCACAAAATGTTAGCCAACAGAATAGCCCCATACATACTTCAGGCCACTTTCTGTTCTCTATTAACGCCACACACAGAAAAACCCTAGATTAATTTAAAGCAGCTAATACAGCCAGTTAAAAGGGACAGTCTTTTTGGGTAAAATGGACAGAATTATTGTCAGCTTCATGCAAAAAAATCTGAAAAATCTTACTTCTAATTAATACATCCCAAATACATCTTTGGTCTTAGAATATGAAACAAAAAAAGTTTTAAAATATTGCTTTAATTAAAGTTTACTTTTTTGTAGCATATCATTTGCTTTCTATATGTATCACTTTGTAACTCTTTTAAAATGGCACAGTTTTCTAACTCATTAGATAAGAAACCAGACTTACGAATGCATTCAGACTGTATGCCACTCCAGGTTAAGTTAGCAAGACAAGAGCGGGTGGTAGATCCCTGAATATGATAACCTTTTCTGCATCTGAAAAAGACTGTGCTCCCAACCTAAGGATCAAAACAGGATGTTAGATAAAAGAAGTATCCATCATGTGCAGACAAATATCAAGACAAGATAAGCTACTGGAGATATTTTTTAAAAAACAAACAAGTCCTCTTTTTACAGTTTCTAGAGTTAAAACTTTTTTTTTATGACATGAAAAGTTTGAGCAATTGATCTTCTGTAACCTTATTTGAAAGCAATAAGCGGAAAAATATTGACAAGGCTGTGCACGTGCAGAAGAATGACACTCATACATTTCAGCTTATTAGTTTGTCAGTGTGACAGAAGCAAAGTAAAGACTGAGATGTCTCTCTTTCCTGTACATCACTGCATATATTTCAACAGAACTTGACCATAAAGTCTGTTTCAAAGGATTCTCATCGCATGACTGGACTAAAAATGTATTTTAAGAGGAAAAAGGAAACAGAAAAAAAAACTATGAAGAACTGTTCCATCTACAAACAAGTTGACTAGGGAAAACTCCAGGCCACAATTCCTTACACTGCACTTGTTACTATAAACTACTTACTTAAGTTTTACTTGAGATGTTTAACTAGCAGAGTGATGATATGGAAATCCTGTCTACATTCAACTGTGATATGACTTTTCTCAGAAGAAAAGGTAAAGTAACTAAGAAAACTCTCTTCAGACTTGCGTTGAGAGTAGAAAAACATGAGAACGGGATATAAAATTGCAAGTAATGAAGATTTTTCATGACATACGAGAAAGAGATTGTGTGCAAAGTTCTAGTAAAATGGACTTATTGATGCTATTGTCAAAAGTAACCAGAATATAACTCCAGGCCAAGATATTTAGGTATGCAGGGCTCATCAGTAAAGCAGCCTTTTGTTTTGGATAAAACGTATTGGCAATAAATATGATTGGATGAAATAAAAAAACCCCACAAAAATTAATAGTATTTGAAATTATATGACTTACTAATAAAGTAACATATCGCCTGGACAAATGCAAATGAGTAGTAACCAATGCATATTAATAAAATAGCTTGAAGCTATATATATACAGATAGCTCTACACTGCAAATTTCACAGAACAACTTCAATGGACATTAAAAATAGGCAGTTATTTTCAGAAGTGCCTACCTGTTAACTGTATACTCAGTTACATAAAAACAGATTATCATGATTTATATTCAGCAAATGCAACACCAGTTCTTCCTGAAGTGGCTTGGTAAATTCACTGGTATTTTTAAAGGTCAAATTTCTAATATGATTTTGTAGACTTATCTATTTATAACTACTTTTAAACATATTCATCTCACTAACTTGCCAATGAGACACAGCATGTCTGTAGTAGAGACCAGAACAGAGTGTAGCTGGTCTTGACTCTAAGTCATCTTGCTTCTAGTGAAATTGCCAATTCTGGTATCATTAAGTAATGATGAGCTGCAAATATTTCCTCACTGGTCCAAAAGACCAAGCTAAAAAAGTAATGTCTTGATTCAATGTAGTTACAGAGTTATAATTCTGTCTCATTTTACAAGTAAATGTAAAAATAAAAGCAGTGGACTCTTTGTATAACACTTGAATGAAAAATATTGGAGGCATTTCTAATAGTCACAGCACAGAGAAGCACAAAAGGCACAAAATGAATAGGGCAAGACAGGATGTGGGTAGATAGGGGAAAATCCTTCAAAGCTCTGCTGCTTGGCATCACACCTTTCTCTAATGAGGAAAGACTGGTAAAAGCTGGTTTATAGAAGCTTGGCTAAGTCATAGAAACAGGAAACCCCAGTAATCACATATGCCAAAAAACATTTACATCACTAGTAATTGTAGAGAAGTCTACATCTTGCTGTACCAGACAGTGATCTAGGAGTGAAAGCACATACTTGAGAAACACTAAATACAGATGAAGACCTACTATTGCCTCTAGAGGTGAATGAGAAGAGAAAATTAGCCTTGATGTTCAACAGATGTTAGAACAGTAAATTGGCCAGTACAATTCTGGCATTAAAGACAACTTGTGAGGCAGATAAAAGGGGGAGAGGAAAAAAAAATATCAACCCCCTGATCAAATTAGGTGCAAAGATTAGAGTTGTTTTTGAAGTGATGATAGGGACAGGTACAGGGTCAAGATGAGACAACCGACAGAAAGGCAACTGCATCTATTACTAGAAAAAGAACCACCTCAGTGGCGAGGTCACAAGATGTGGCTAGGAGAGAAGTGCCTTGGCATCTGCAAGCCAGTCAAGAGTAGAAGGTGAAGAAAAGAGCTGACAGCCACAGCAATGACAGACAGCACAATTGTAGGAGAGGGAGGATACCAATAACCAGAGGAACTTACAGAAATGATTTTTTGAAAAACAGTTCTACTAACTTGATCATAATACGACGTGGCACACTGCCCTACATTTAGAAATAAGCAGTAAACCCAAGCAGAACATATTTCAGATTCCAATCACAAATATTTATACCTGAAGAATCTATCCATATGAGGTTAATCATTCTATACAGTGACTGTGGATTAGTCATTGTTGCATTTACTTTTATTTCCTCAGTCACTTTTCTGATTGTCACTTGGTAAAATAATAATCTGTGAGGAATTTTGAATTATAGAAAGGAAATTCATCACAGAGAAACTGGATCTAACCATAGAATAATTTTGCCTTCTCTGACTGAATAGAATGTAACATAAATTGCTAATTTAGTAAAGCCACTTGCTGACTTTTTCGTCAAGGACTACATGACCTTTGGATCAGACAGGTCATTGGTTATTAGGTATTTACTGACTATTCATCAATGTATGAAAGAATTATGATCCTAAAGAAAAGTAATTATATCATGTCATATCATATTAGGTAATCAATTTATAAATAGTCCTCCCTACTGAAGTCTCCTAAAGAATTGAACACATGATATATTACAAGGTTAGAGGTTCTTTGTTTAAGCTGTATGTTAAAAAAAGAGTTTGGAATGAAGCATGTGTTTTTATTAAAAAGGAGCGGAAATTCTCTAAGGTTTATATCAGACATTTAAGCCTACAGATAATTAATAAATTTGTAAATATTAAATGCATCTTCATTTTAGAAAGGCGATAAATAAAAGAAAGAATTACCTCATAACCTCTGGAACTGTTTTGTATTCCAAAATGTGGAGTACCAGGGTCTGTACATGTATTGTGAGCTGGATCTAATGTAAAATGTGAAACACGACAGATATTATTATGGTATGGAAAGAATACTCCAAAACTGTTTGCAAAGAATAAGTCATTTCATCAACGTCTAGTGAGGGCAAGAATTGAATTTTTAATTGAATGTGTGTATTTCCGTATATTAAACTTGTATTTCCAATTAAATTTCCAAAATAGATCACAGTACTCTGTTTCAGTACATTGCCATTATTTAAGGGGTTTTTTTTTGCAGGTATCTTTGGCATTGTAGACTTTAGAGCTAAGATTACATTAATTTTTGCTAAGCATAGCCTTTTAAACCTTTTTGAATACATAGTATATCCCACTAATCATAATGCAGATGGAACATAAAGGGAAACCTTTTTCTTCTCTTCTTTCCCAATGAACAGCTTAATGATTAAGTTAGATTTCTTAAAAAAGCCCCAAAACTCCCAAAAATGAAACTCAAAACCAACCTTCTTTCTTACAACAAGTAAAATACTTAATTTTTTAATAGAATATTTTCTATGTCACTAAAAAAATATAATTTTCAAATGGACTACTACCTCAGTTGTTCCCGGAGGATGAAAAGACAGTCCCTGCACAAAAAATGGTACATCAACAGAGTATAACTAGTTACATGATGATCAGTTTCATGAGTGTAATTTAAAGCAGTCTGATGCTATTTTTGATTCAGCAACGTCCACTTCACATTCTGGTGGTGTATTTCCTTTGGGGATGCCCAGGCACACCCACCAGGTAGACAGCACAGGACTTGATCCAGTGGATCTTTCTGCACTATGTGATTCCCTCTTAGCAACCAAGTCTGCTTTTGTGCTGAACACTGCATTACAAAGAACGCAACTTAGGGCTACATTTAACCTGTAACCATTTTTAGTTTTCTGTAGAGGGAAAATTGAACTTATCAATATCACATACAATAATGTGATATGTCATTTTATTCTTAGTCAACTTCCATTTTCAGTGTTGACCATCAATAAAGCATAAAAATTCAGCTGGACTGATATTTATCAAAGGCTTTAAAAGTTAGGTGGATGTTGGCCTAATGTAAGAGAAAAAAATCCAAACACACTCCTGACCTTGAGCTGCTTGAAGAGCTCAAGAACTTTTTATAAGTTATCATCAGCTGGAGTGTCATTGCTAATAACAGACACATGAAGCTGAACTGACTTTTTAAGATATGTCTCATTGGAAGAAACAGTAGGGGTAATAGGAAGAATTGTCAAAGTATTTTAAGGAAATTATTAATATCCAGAAATAGAAAAGCTTGCCATCATTTGCCATCATATGGTACTTTTAGGCATAGTTCTAGGTACTGTTCATTGATCTTAATTTTCAAAATGGTTAACAATGGTACCTGTGAATATTTTAGATAGTCCAATATTTTCTTTTTATAACATAAAAGCTATGATGTAAAAGGAAAGCTTATGTCTTTGATGTAGTGTTTTCCATGTGTTATATATTATACTATATAACATATAAATAGAAATGTCATTATGACATTTTCAAATTTGATTCTTCACAATAGATCTGAGATTTAACTTTTGCAAACCTTCTCATCTCTGTTACAAAATATTGATGTAAGTTGAACTGCCCAGGTCACAAAAACTATGGCCAGAAGGGGTTTTGAATTAGTATACAAAAAAATTTATTGAGTGTTAATGTCTTAATTTACAAATACACACTGCTTTCAATAATCATCCTTGTCACTTTTTCTCAGAGTGCCCACTCCAGCTCTTCTACATAGCCAATATCAATAGCCACAGCAAAATATATAAATCGGCTACATTTATATCTGAATGTGTTTGTTGAGAAATATCAAAAAAGACTTTTTCTATTATTTCACCAAAATAATTTTCTCTAGCAAGACACCCCAAGCTGGATCAAATGTTGATGTCAGTGGCAGTTTCAAGTGTCCAGCATTTCTCTGTTAGTCTGATTATACAACATGCTAAAAGCCTATCAGTAGCACATCAGTTAGAAAAACTGATAGTTTTTTGGGCCCTGATAGTGAGAGAAACTGATAGTACTTGGCAGTTTATCAGAATTTCAAAAGATCAGACCCAGCATGTTTCATCCTTTTGAACTGTACAAGCCACTTTGAGAAAGTCCAAAAAGCTTTTTGATTCAGGATTGATTCTGACAAATGCCTTTAACTCTCCAGTGACAGAATCTGGTCTTTAATCTGCCAAAGTCATCTGCATGTCTAAAAGATTCTAAAAATAGCTGGAACAAATTTATTTACTTGCACTTATTGACATTCTGCATTTCCAGCAGACAAGCAATCATGTAAATTTACAAATGACTTCATATGTGATTGTGTTTATCCTAAAATTTTTATACTCAAAATATAACCTTATTTATCTAGTTCTTTTTATATTACACAGACGTTTTCTATATTTGGAAAGCTAATTGCTAGATTTATGATAGTGTAATAGTTTATCAAGAATATTCTCAGTAGAAACAGAGTAAGTAGCGGTAATTACCGATGCATGTTGGCTGAATTCCACTCCAAGTACCATCTGCTTGACAGGATCTTCTTGAAGAGCCTATCAGAATAAAAGGGGGTCTGCACTGAAAGCTAACTTCAGATCTGTAGGTGAAACTTTTTCCACTGAGGCGTCCTTCTGCTGGAGTGCCAGGATCACCACAAAAAACAGCTAATACATAAAAAAGGAAAGAAAAAGAAGTTATTAAAAGAGACACTTAAACGCTGATTGGATTGGGATGACAACATAATCTCAAAGTAGACAACGCTGTATGATTCTGCGATTCTATATTGTAATGCTTCAAAATATATCCAGTTTTCACTCAGTCACCCTCAGATGAGTATGCTGGAAATTATTGCCCTAATTAAGTAAAAGCAAAAATGTTTGTCAGAGTCCTGAGAAGATTTCAAGCACTGAAAGAGGTGAGTTGACAAATTTAGAAGAAGCTGAAAAACAAATGGAAACAAGATACTAGCCTTCAGGAAAGAAAAAAAGAATTTACAAAGCAGTGCAAGGCTATGGGCTTAAAGATTAGGACCCTTGTTTTCACTTGTTCATGGAAATGGAAGCATGGAAGAAAAAAGGAGAAGTGTAAGGGAAAGTTTTAATCATGCTCACTACAAGTCAAATTATCAGTAAGGCAAATGGTGATGGATCCAATTAGGTAATAAGAGATGGAGGTGACTTTTGGGGGAAGATGACCATGACCTTAAATAGGCACAACCACTGCATTTCATAACAAGGTTATGAAGAAGTTTTTGGAAGGAGGGAGAATTCTGCAGTAGTCCATGTATTACCTGATCTAGCTGAGTCCTTTTTAAACCGTGAGAAACTGACTGTAGCCTGAAACAACTGATTGTAGCTTTGGTGAAGTCCAACACAACTGTACCCTGAAAACTTACGTAAACATTGTGGGATGTCTCCCCGCCAAATTCCTCGACCCTCACAGGAGAGAATAGCTGTGTTAGACAGCTGATAGCCTTCTGCACAGCTGTAACTCACACTGGCACCCCAACGATAATCAGATCCTTCCACTTTCCCATAGAGTACTGGTGGAGGGGGGCCACAGGTAATAGCTGTGTCACAAAAAAAAAAGAAAAGGTATAATTTGAAGACTTTATAGGGTTTAGGAGAATGCAACATAATATCTATTCATACTTTTGAAAGCAAAAAAAATATTTCATGTTGTTCAGTTCCAACAAAGCATTCCTGTATTAACAAAGCAGCCTGTAATAGAAAACCAATTAAAATACAAAAATACTACTTCTAGGTTTAGGAAGTCCCTGAGCTCTAGGTTGCTGGAAGCCAGAGAAGTATACAGCTTTCCAAATTCTGAATTTTTTATTTGTTGCTGATCATTGTTGGAAAAAGGCTACTGAGCTAGGTACAATTTTTCAATAAATATCTTCTAAGATTCAACAATTCTAAATATTTTCATTTTACTTTAAACTAATTTTGCAGCACTATTTAAAGCCTTAATATGACTTTGTTCATTCACCTACTCATTTTCTAAGGCTTTCAGCACACAATGGACATTGATTTTTTTGGTAATTAGTGTCTAAGACTATTAAAAATATTATGATGTTTTTCAGCTTGTGAAAGAGTGCCCAAAATGATGAAATCTGGAATGACCAAGTTTACAGTTACACATCAACAAAGAGCAGAACCGTAAAACCACTCAGTGATATTTACAACAGAAAATGCAATCATTTGAATACATATGCCAAAATTTAATTAGTAGGCTAGGCTTAGACAGCATTTTAAAGCCATGCTAGATGAGCTGGCAGTCTAGGCTTTTTATAAGCAGAAGATGCCCTAGGCTCTTAAATTTACTCCCTGAGCTGCTGTAGTAGTGCTAACAATTTTCACTAGGCTGCCTTATTTGCCTTTCAGCCTCATCCCCACTATGACCTTTATGTTAGCGCTTGTAATTAGCTATTTGTGAAACAACTTTTTGGCTATTTATATGATGTCTATACTACTGCAACAAGGGAATCTTTTATAAAAAGCTTGATTTGCAGGAGCCCTTTACAGAATTTTGGACATCTAATCCAAGACAAAGGGCCCAAAAATGAAAATGGGTATTTCATTCCTATCATTTTAAACTGAGCTCTCTGATAATCCCCACTGTAGAGTGATTTTGTTCTCCTGTAGTCATTAATGTCACTATTCTGACTAACATTATGCCACAGCACATGTGCAAAATAATACAGATTTTACACAAATACTTATCTAAATGTTTTCATTGCATTTGTGTGTTAATTGTCCCAGAGAATGTTTTGATAATTTTTTATAAAGACACTCATTACTGAATTTCACATATAGTATCAAAACCGTATTTGTAAACTATTTAACTTCAAAAGCAGACCTTTGCAAATTGGTTTACTCTGGTTCCAAGTGCTGTCTTTTATACAACGCATGGTAGATGAAATGGCAGGCTCCATCAAGTATCCTGGATTGCACTGATAGGTGACTGTCTTATTGAAGGTAAAATCATTTCCAAACTGAATGCCATTTGCTAATGCACCTGGATCTCCACAGCTGATCACTAGTGAGGAAAATAAAAAAATGTTACTTTTTTTCAACAAATATGTAATGAAACATTGAACTATGTATAGCTAATGCCTTTTTTTAGTGTATAAAACAAGAAAAAATTTGATCAATATATTTCACACAAGATAAAAAATGTAAGCTTTAATTTCTAGCTAAAAACTCGTATTTTTGAGGCATTGCAATAGCGCTGGCCAAATATTGTGTTCCTTGAAGACACTAGTTTAAGGTGGTATGCTCTAACGGCTCCTGCAGACTGTTATGTTAGTGGTAGTTTTGACAGGACTTTTCTTTCCTTCACACTGGGATCTTTGTCACATTATGGCTAATGTTGATGCCACAATGCAATTCCAGCAGACTTATGAAATTCCTTTTCTTTTTTGTATCACTGTGCTGTCATCTGGCCCCATAGGCCTTGCAGCACCCCTTTACTCCCCACTCGCTTTCTCTGATGGAGTAGCCCAAACTTCCTTCTCCCTGACTCTTGGTCATTAGCAGAATAGTTTTTTGTCAGATTTGACTCCTTTGTCTCACAATAAAAACTGGCACAATAACGTATCCACTTAGGTAAAATCTGATTTAGAACCATCAGAACTTCATCCCATGTACATAAGACAAGCAAAAAAAAAAAAAAAAAGAAAAACAAGGAAACTCTAGAGAAACATTCTTAGCAATAATGTTATATTTTCAATGTTGACATTCATGAGGTAAACAAATACAGAAAAGTTACCCATGTATCCATCTTAAAAAGATAATTCTAGAAACACCTAGGAGGTATTAAAAAGGACAAGTACCTTTAGATGCATAAAATATTCATGTAAACAGATGAATGGGGAAAAAAAGGTGTTATTTTATCTAACAAAATAATCATTTTTTAGTAGGAAGGCTGGATGACTTACTACTTTAAAGCTTTAGAGGAAGAAAGTTTGTTTCTGACCTGTGCAGTCTGGAGCAGTGCCAGTCCATGTCCCATTAGCAGTACAATGTCTAGTAGTCAGCCCTGAAGTTTTGTAACCTTCCCAGCAGGCATAAATGACTGAGCTGGAGAATAATATTCCATCAGTGTATATTATCATACCGTTGGCTGGGGTGCCAGGGTTCCCACAAGATACAGCTGTGAAGAAAATGTTACAAAAAATCAGCATTTCTATCATAGGTGATTCACTGAAAAAAAAAAAAGGTAGGTCAATAGCCCATCTTCTAAAAAACTATAGCAAGTTTTACTAAGAAAATGTTTAATAGGTATATTCTTGGGTTAATGTCTTATTTCTCTTTGTTAATATGATCACTTTACTTGCATTTGTTTAGTGGTTTTTTTTTCAATAGCTGATTCAGATAGTTTGCACTGCTTGTTCCATTCCACCCAATATAGTCACTGGAGACAAGAAAGCTCATTCAGGACTTTCTGACAGACCTGTGCCTCTGTTTTGCCTTCAGGCACATTTTTCTATTCTTCTTCTGTTTTCTGGTATGTCCTCTTTCAATCATAAAAATGCATAAATAGTAAATTATGATTTTCCTGTTCATTTCTTTTTTGAATCAAGAAAATAACAGACATTCTGTATTGGCCTCCGTATCTTTTTGGCATCTGTAGCTATAGATTAAGGCAATGATTATGTTTCAGCTTCGTACATCTGAGATTCGACAGTGGTTTACTTTGATTAAATGTTGGGTCTTTGGGAGGGTTTAGTCTTGGGTTTTTTTTCCAGCTGACCAGCCAATCATGAGATGGATTTGTTTGTTTGTTTGTTTTTTTGAATTTTTCTAACAACTTTCCTCCAGAGCATCTTTATTTGACCATCCTGGCAGACAGGACACTGGCAAAAGCATGATAAAATTCCATTTTTGGACAGAGAATACTCCTCGTCATAAGAATAAAATAAAACTATCATGAGGTTAAGAGATTAACAAGGTTAATCAAGAGTTAGGAAGAAATCTGCATATAAATCAAACTCTTTCCTTCAATTTTCCATGGAGCAAGAAGTGGTTTGTAAGACTGGGAGGGCATACTTCAATAGTCTCTTGCGGAGCTTTCAAGAGCTGGAAATTCTTCCTACTCTTCCTACAGCACAAATAAATGTGGTGTCTTGAAAAGTGAAATGATTTAGTCTAATGCAATTATTTGATCAAATATAGGTATGATTAAAATTAATGGGTTGGAATATTGTGGTGGATTAACCTTGCCTAACAGCCAAATGCCCACTCAGCTGCTGAGTCACTCCCCTTCTCAGTGGGAAGGATGACAAAGCTCAGGGGTCAAGATAAAGACACAGGAATTCTTACCATTTACCATTGTGGGCAAAACAGACTCAGTTTGGGAAAAATTCCTTTAATTCATTGCCAATTAAATTAGATTTGAATAGGGACAAAAAGACAAATGTTGAAACATCACCTTTCCTTCCCTCTTTCCCAGGGTCAACTCCACTGCTTCACTTCAGGCTCCTCTGCCTGGCCCACAAGTGGTGCAAGAGGAATTCTCACAAGAATTCCCACAGGAATTCCATAATCATACCCTGACCTGCAGAAAAAGAAGCGTGGCCAGCAGGTCGAGGGAGGGGATTCTGCCCCTCTGCTCCGCTCTGGTGAGACCCCACCTGGCGTACTGCATCCAGGTCTGGGGCCCCCAGCACAAGAAGGGCATGGACCTGTTGGAGCAGATCCAGAGGAGGGCCACCAAAATGATCAGCAGGATGGAACACCTCTCCTCTGAAGAATGGCTGAGAGAGTTGGGGTCCTTTAATTCATTGCCAATTAAATTAGATTTGAATAGGGACAAAAAGACAAATGTTGAAACATCACCTTTCCTTCCCTCTTTCCCAGGGTCAACTCCACTGCTTCACTTCAGGCTCCTCTGCCTGGCCCACAAGTGGTGCAAGAGGAATTCTCACAAGAATTCCCACAGGAATTCCATAATCATACCCTGACCTGCAGAAAAAGAAGCGTGGCCAGCAGGTCGAGGGAGGGGATTCTGCCCCTCTGCTCCGCTCTGGTGAGACCCCACCTGGCGTACTGCATCCAGGTCTGGGGCCCCCAGCACAAGAAGGGCATGGACCTGTTGGAGCAGATCCAGAGGAGGGCCACCAAAATGATCAGCAGGATGGAACACCTCTCCTCTGAAGAATGGCTGAGAGAGTTGGGGTTGTTCAGCCTGGAGAAGAAAAGGCTCTTGGGGCGACCGTACCATGGCCTTTCAATACTTTAAAAGGAGCTTGTAAGAAAAATGGAAAGAGACTTTTTTTTCCAGGGCCTGTAGTGACAGAACAAGGGTAATGATTTTAAACTGAAAGAGATTATATTTAGATTGGACATAAGAAAGAAATTATTTATCAGGTAGGTGGTGAGACACTGGAACAGGTTGCCCAGGGAAGCATCCCTGGAAATGTTCAAGGTCAGGCTGGGTAGGGCTTTGACCAACATAATCTATGGGAAGATGTCCCTGCCCATGGCAGGGGGGTTGGACTAGATTGTCTTTAAAGGTCCCTTCCAACCCAAACTATTCTATGATGTTATGATAATACTAATAAAACAAATTGAAGACCATGTGCAGATACTGGTCAAGGTACAACACTGAGTTGCATTAGGAAAGTCTGGATGCATTCATTAAGGCTAAACATATTTATGGAATTTATGCAAAGGCAACAAGTCTGCGGATGCTTAACATTTGACAAATTGATAATTTGACAGTAGTTGACTATAAAATAATCCTTACACTACTCTTAGTGTCTATTTGACTTACTACATTTCCTCATATTTGCTCTGTTCAATTTATCACATCTTCCTATTTATGAGAGTCATAGAATCAAAGAATCACAGAATGGTTGAGAATGAAAGGACTTCTGGAGGTATCTGGTCAAGCGGGGCCACCAAGAGCCAGTTGCCCAGGACCATATCCAGACAGTTTTTGACTGTGTCCAAGGATGGAGACTCCACCACTTCTCTGCGCAACTTGTGCCAGTGCTCACGAAGCCTCACCGCAAAAAACTGTTTCCTGATGTTCAGACAGACCTCCTGTGTTTCAGATCCTGGCTCCATCTTCTCTGCACTCTTCCTCCAGAGATTCATGTATGTTGATAATATGCCCCCTGAGCCTTCACCTTCCTAGGCTAGATGGTCCGAGCTCTTTCAGCTTTTCCTCGGAGGAGAGATGCTTTAGTCCCTTCATCATCTTAGTGGCCCTTTGCTGGACTCTGTCCAGTAAGTCCACGTTTATCTAATACTGAGGAGCCCAGAACTGGACCCAGCACTCCAGATGCTGCCTCACCAGTGCTGAGTAGAAGGGAAGGAACACTCCCCTTGTAAGGCAGCCTGGGATACCATTAACCTTCTTTGCAGCAAGGGCATTTTTCTGATTATGTTCAACTTGTTGTCCACCAGGACCCACAGCTGGATAACCCCTAACATAATAGTTAGAATGTAATAGTTAGAATGTAATAATTATAGATTATAGGTTTCACTAAAATAAACACAATTTGCCAATTAAAAATGACTGAGTATTACTGATGTTTGGAATAACACATAAATGCCTTTGTTTTAATCATCACTTTTTATGTCTAAAATCGCAAATACTGAAGAGAAAAATTCAGTGGGTTGGAACTTGAACTAGGGGTGAAAGGATATTGTCCTCCTGTTCTCATCCTTATTTATAATAAACAGAAAACAATTGAAGGAGAAGAGAAAAATTGGAAGAAAGGGGTTTTTTTCTTTGTGTTTTTTTTTCCCCCCAAAACAGAAGGTTGAAGCAAAAAGACAAAGAAAAAACAGAGGCCTTTCAAATACCACTAATTGCTACTGAGTGCTGCTGTCCTACTATACTTAATGTCTTCATGCAAAGGAAGAAGAAAGGACATTGCAAAACTTCAATTTCTGCTGAAAATACTGAACCTGTGCCCACTGCCATTTCGATACAGTTATAGTGATATCTACACTGACAGAAGATTAGTCTGTGCTGAAGGGTACTGCATAAGAACAATTGTTAGATGAGAATACTGTGATCAACTCCAATGAATTAGACAAAATAACTTTTCAAACATTCTTGGAAAAAAAGAAGTAATTTTAAAACTGAATCCAAAGTCTTCCATTACTGCTTTCCAGTTCTGACAGGGAATAAAAAGTGTAAAAATCCTTTATTATCTTTTTTATCTTTTTCTAAAATGTGATTTCCAGAAATATTCTCTGTTGCATTTATTTTGAAAAAGCTAGCATAAAAATGGTATATCTCATAAAAAATTAGTCTAACTTATGTGGAGAAATATACATTATATTATACTTAGTTAAGAATAAAGCATCATTTCATCATTTGTTTAGTCCTTGATACATAGACATTACAAAGAAAGAGAAGATGAAAATATTGTATTGTTAGAAGATGGATGATGGATTTACTTATCACTCCATTTTCATATCTTCAATCTGAAGAATTTTTTTTAATATTACATTTAACTTAAGTATCTATTCTCTGTTTTCAGGCTCAATATTTGTTTAACTAGAATTATTTTCTGACAATGTTCTTATAAGAATATATTCCAAAGCTTTATCTTTTTGGATTTAGGTTTTCATGCAAAACATGAACTGCTTGCAAACTCTTTTATTTTATTTCTGCAGAGCAATATAAAAGCATATTTTTGGCATAGAATTTCTTTTTAATTAAAGAACAAAATGTCATTAGTAAATGTCATTAAATGGTGTCATAAATGTTGAGGGTATCAATACCTACCTTCACACACAGGCTGTATACCTGACCAGGAACCATTAAGGAGGCATGTTCGTTCTGCAGATCCTCTCAGTTGATAACCCATTTCACATGAGAAACGTAGCAAACTTTTTATTTTGAACTCATCCCCTAGTCTAGATCCATGGGCTGGTATTCCTGGATCATCGCAATAGCCAGGGTTATTTCCTGTAAAGCACAACAGAGCAAAATTATTGGCAGAGACATCATGTGCAAATGTAGTGGTAGTGAAGACACTCTTACACGAATAGTAGCACTAGCTGCACTGTTTCTATTATAATTGATCACTTTTCTTCCAGTACAAGGGTGTGAAACCAAAGCCAAAGATGAAAATAACATGTTTTTTCAGCTTCCTTCTTATCTCATACCTGCAGAGACCTAAACAGAGAATGTGATTTAAATAAAAAAAAGAATTGTGAACACAGGAAGCACCCTTGTCATTTTTTTGTCAGTTGAACAAATTTCTTGTCTTTTTGACATAAATGACATTTTCTATGTATTGTATTTTATTGTTCAACTTCCCTGCTAGTAATAACTTCTAACAATGAAAATTAGATACCAACAAGAGTGAAAAGAACTGTATTCAAGTTTCTTAAGAAATATATTTGAAATACATCTATCCTCAGAAAAGACTAAATGGTACCTGGCCCTTTGTGCCTATTCAAGAGTGGAAAGGTCACCTCATAATTTTCCTTACCTTTTAAGTTCCTATGCAAGCATTGGTTACAATTTTAGAAGAGAAAGAAGGTGCTGAAAAACAGACCTCTCAAACATGTCCTCATAGGTCTGATGAGCCAGTCAACTGCCTTATCACATAAAGCAGCTGCTACAGGAAATGCTACCCAAGATGGTCAAGGAAGTATGGTCTCAGTATCAACAGCTTATTATAATTTTTGGCATAAAATTTTCCCTCTCCTACATCCCTCAGTCTAAATTGTGGTTCATAGCAACATTATCCTTTGTTCTTAATTTTTAGGTTTTAGGCCTAGACTGCATTTCTATTAAAATTATGGTTTGGGTTTTTTTTCAAAATATGTATAAATAATTCCATATGTTGAAGTCTGTATCGTCTTACATAGGTTTTTCATCATAGGCACACCCCTCAGATGAAGAACAAAATCTTGAACAAACAAATAATAATAGCAAAACATTGAGAAAAATCCAAATTTAATTTTAGAAATGAAAATTTTCTAAAATCAGAAAGTATGATTATGTGTGTGGTATAAGGTCTTCATTATAGCAAGTTTGAGACAGACACTTTGGATACAGTCATGCTTCCTCATAAAAGGAGATCAAGACACAGTTCCTGAATTCAAGGCTTACTTGTGGGCTTCGGTTGTGTCCATTTTGTATTTTGTCCACTTTGTCCACTTAGTACTAGCTTCTTCTAGAATAGATTGCCCTTGTCACCCTGCTCTACAGCATTTTTACCTCTAAATACATGTGTGAGTGTCTTGAAACCAGCTGGCATATTCTGTCTTCATCTATATTGTTAAATTCAGTCTCCAAAACAGGATGGCTGCACCCAAAGTGGCTGTTGAGAATGATCTGCAGCACACACTAATTGGCAAGTATTTGTGCATTGTTTGATGGAGTGCTAGTTGGGATGGGTGAAAACCAGAATTCTGCCGACAATTCTAAGAGCATAATGGTCTTGGTGATCAAGTACTAGCACCCTGGCTCTGTTCAATCAGCAGTCCGGATGTGGTCTCTGAATGCCATCTGCTTCCCCTTATTCCAAGACATTACCATTTCACAGATATTTTCGTCTGCTTAAAATGTGTGAAATAACATGAGGCCTGTGATTCAGGCTACCACTGTGGCATGTTTACAACACGCAACAGATAGGTGGCACATACTTTGGCTTGTGAACGCAAAGACTGCAGGAACTGTTCAGGGCAGAAGCATCTATAATGCTAAAATTCTGATGATGTCCCACTTTGCTTTGGGACTTTGCTGAGGGAATTATTCCAGATAAATTACCAGATTTTTTTTCTTGCACATATCTAGTTTTGTCTTGGAGAAAGTTTCAACTGGATCCATACAAGTTTATAGTCAAAGGATATAGACAAAGGCAGTTAGAGTATGATGAAGGTCTAGAACCGTTTTTATTTAGCAATGTAGTTGACTACATATCCATTACTGAAAATGAGTGTGAGTCAACATAAACAAAAATCTCAGCTATCACTTAACTCGTAAGATACAAGTGTCCATCACTGCAACAGGTCCCAGGTGAGAATAAACCCTGAGATCATATTTATACCATCATGTATTCAAATGTATATTAATATATTAAAAAGAAATAAACCCCATGAAGAAACAGACTACAGGTTTCAATTGTTATATTGGGACTGCTTTTCATATCCCTTAAGTATAAAATCAATTAGCTGTCCCAGTTGTCCTGGGCACAGTCATTCTTTCACTCACATTATGAATACAAATTATTCATACTGCTTTTTTAATGGAGGAATCTCCTGGATACCTAACATAGAAAGCGTAGTTATTTTGCCTTAGAGGAATGAGAACAACTTCTTCATTTTTTTGGCTGATTGTTTGGGAGTTTTTGTTTGGTTTTTTATAGAGCTAACAGAGATAGTTGTCTCATTTTCCTAGGGAATCACCTTGCTCTCAAGATAATGTCACATCATGTTCAAACTTAGAAAATTAAATTTTGCATCAGTAACAATATTTTAGTTACACGAGACATATTTTCCCCATGATAGGAGAGGACTACACTGTTCTTCAATGTTTTAAAAATCTATGAGTCTATAAAAATACTATCACATTCATGACTGATATCTGAAGAGTTTCAATTATTAGCAATTATAATTTCTTTCCACTAGCATGAGAATTTCCCTTGTGGTGTGAGATATTGTGTAACAACACTAGAGGGCTCCTACCTTAAAAATTTTAAAGTCTTAGTGCAATCTCAGATCTGGCATCTTATACTGAGTAAAAAGGTGAAAGTGACATAAATATGGGAAAGTGACATAAATATGGGTTAGGCCAACAAAAGGCCAATTCTGTGTGGAAACTATCCATATGATTGCCCTGCAAAGATTCCTTTCAGGTCTAGGCATAGAGACCATGATGGCAGTGAGATCTAGTGGTTTCTTTCCCCCTTTAGCAGCAGAGAACAGAAAAGAAACATTAGTAATTTAAATTAGCTTCCTTTCCTCAGTGTTTCAAGTTCTTCTCAGCATCGTTGCAGAATCAGCTTATGAATGGACCATTTTCAGGAACACTTATTTAGAGATTTTCACAGTAGAGAATTTAAGTATCTTACACCTATTTAAATCAGGTCAAATCTGAACCATGTTGAATCAGATCAACCCAAGAGTGGGCATGTCCAAGAGCTTAGGGGAAGTTATAAGAAGATTCTATAATGTGTAATTATGGAACAATTTTCTCATTAGGAAATTTTCTTCTTAAAGTTGTCAGGTATTTGTTTTCTTACATACCAAAGTGTGTAAACTTTTTTCCCTTACTAAACTTATTAATACACTGTGCATGTCCTTAGTAGCCAATCCTCGTCTGAGCTCTTGACTTCAACAAAACTGTGTTAATGTTCTATAGCTCCTTCTAAATTTGCATAGTTAGTCTAGGGGAGAATAAACTGTTCCTGTACTTCCTGACAGCACCAAGAACATTGCAGAGGTTTACGGTACTTGCACATTGTGGCAGAAATTCACTTACAGAATATTTCTGTAAGTGAAAATAGGAACATAATGTATGAAGATTACCATCTAGTACCTTTGCTGTGTTTTTTTAAATCAATATTTTCCTTTGTGACAATCTTTGTTTACACAGAACTGTATTCATAAAAATAAAATTTAATACATACATCCTTTTTAATCAGAACTCTACCAGATTTTAAACAGTGTTTTGTGGCTTTTATATACTGCGGTATACAACCATAGCATCTAGCTAAGGAGTAAAGTTACAAAGTAATGACAAGAAGAATGAGACAATGTATGAAAATATTTTAATAAATGGTTATAATTCAGCTGAGTGGCTATTAGTGAAATTAAAATGTACTTCAAAAAGAAACAAAACAATATCTGCTTGTAGTTGAAAATTGCTTGAGAATAGCCGTATTCATGTAATTACAAATGATGGTTGATACAAGTACCTGAACAGTGAGGGAGAGTCCCACTCCAGTGGCTGTCTTCTTGGCACTCCCTAGTAGAGTTTCCTATGAGTTTTCGACCAGCTGTGCAAGAATAGTGAATTATAGAGCCATATGTAAATTTATCTCCTGAAAGAACTGCGTTGGCAGGTACCCCAGGATGTCCACAAGAAATGGCTAAGAAAGGAAAGAGCACAATATTATAAGATGTTTTCATGGCACAGAAAAAAACTATTATAACCTTTAAATATGAGGCTGGTTCCACACAACATAAACTTCTGTCTGGATTTCAACTCCTTCATGTCTTCAGTTTTGCTGTTACTACAGATGATTTACTGGTCATTTGTAAGATTAAACATAAAACTACGTGTAAAACTAACCCATCCAGTTTAGTCTTTCTCTGAAAATATACAGAGCTATCTTTCATTTTCATTCACTGTCCTTCCTTACAAATAATACACATTATTTGTGTTAATATTGGGAAAGAACAAACTAGATAAGGTTAATGTTGCAATGTGCTTGTTTATTACAGATATGATAATGGTAAACAGCTTTATCATATCTGTAAAATAACTAGACGCAGTTTAGACAGTATAAAGAAATAACAAAATTTAATCTGTAGTGTTGGTCTAAAGTAAGCAAGAGAAAAATGGATTACTGATAATTTTTGTAAATTCTTGAATCATATTTATGCTTAAGTCAATGTGGTTTTGTTTGAGAAAAAATTCAGACAAACAGTTTTGGTACGGAATAAATTGCAAACAAGTAATTCAGACCTGTTATGTGAGGAAACATAAGTCATCTTAAGGTGAACTAGAAATCAAATTCTGAACGCTTTTTTTGTGTAAAACTTAGGTTATCCAGTAGAGGAAGAAAAACTAAAGAAAATAAATTTTACATAACATTAGTAAACAGTCACACAACTTAAATAGGCAATACTTAAGTGGAGCAACTGAACTTGAGCAGCCTTATGATTTACTTGATCTATGAGTCAAATATATTTCTAGGAAAAAAAAGAATTATTCTGATGCCTGTTACTCCTGAGAGACACCAAAATTATTTATGTTATACTGGGCCCCATGATGATGTCAAACTGACTGCACAATGGATTTCAGCTAAAAGGCATGGTCCTGGCCACTGCTTCTTCACTGGTGTGTGTTTCTCTTGCTTTTGCTGGGCTGGCTTAAGCATTCATGTAGCAAATAGCAAACCAAATCTTGACACGGAACTGGCTGAACAGTACTCCCACAGAAAAAAACAGTGTTTGATTTTCAGCCAGATCAATTACCTTAATGAGCTTGCTTCAGTACCATGCAAATTCTAGTCCTGCCACAATTCTGGAAGGAGCTGTAGTGGATGATCAGAGTTTTTGGAAGAAAATAATATGTAGGTCACCTTAATGTGGCTGTACAATGATTTGTAGTGAGTAGCATGAAATTTTGCCAGTTTATGAAGAAGAAAAGAAGCATCCATTTTTAAGCAATGACACTCATAGGTATTGCCTTGCATATAAAATAGCAGTGTGTTTCCATTTTTTTATTCTTGAATGAGAATTATTCATGGTAAACATTGTGTCCACTTTGGGTTCAAAACTTATCTCACCTACCCCTCCAAACATTTTCCCCTATCACCAAAAGCAATCTTATGCTTGAAAAAAAAAGATTATCACTGATAACCTTTGAAAACTAAATCTCTCAATTAAGAACTTCAACAGACTCTGAGGGACTTAATCTGTAAAGAAATAAACACATCTTTCTAATAGAAAGACCCTTATTCATTTCACTGAGTTTTTCTTAGGGGAAAGAATGTTAAATTTGTCCTGGTGATATTTAGGATTCAGATAGTGTTTCAGCGCAGCAGCAGCAAATTAGCAGCAGCTAATACAGTAGGTGATTGAGGAATGTAGGCACCTCCCAGGCTCATTTGAAAGTTCCCACGCTTCAATCAATAGTCCCCAGAGCAAGGTCAGGAATTTCGATTCTAAGTGGATGGACACCTACAACTTGCATCGAGCTCTGCCTAAAAACAGAAGGCCATGTAAATGCTATCAAACTTCCAAAACACTTGATGTAGAAAGATGGGTAGCTATTCTAGGTGATTTAGATTCCCCATCCTCTTCTGCCTTTTGCATATGGAGCAAGGAATGTCGCTTCACACTGAAACCCCAGTCCTGGAAGTAGGAAGGGATCACAGACAGAATAGGGAGACAGACTTTTGTAATGTTTTTTCTAAGGTACAAAAATGGGGCACATGCCATTCGGTAAAATATTCTTACAAAGTGAACAATTTTATGCAGCTATTTTGTATTTAATATGTTGTATTTTGCATAATTATTTTACTATTGAACACTGAATAAACCCAGTTTTCAGATTATAGCTTTTCTTGACAAATATTGAAAGTGTAGATTGTTGTGGAAATGAAAACAAAACTGCTTGGGTCATGTGGATATTAGATACATCGTAGCAGGAAGAAAGCAAGCATAAAAAGGAAACAAATTCACTAATATACTTACATTTATTGATCTGATTGTTATATAAGAATAGAATCATAAAATAAATAATTTATGTAAACAATCACAATTCTGTAAAGCAAAATCTTTAAAATCATCTGTATTTGCATATCATCATTATATATATCATCTGATGTATTTGCAAATTAAATTACACTTTCATTTATTATTTCCTATAATTGCATTGTAATTCAGAAATCTAATGTCAGAAAATTAGTAATGATCAGAGAAGAAAAATATGTCAATGGAAAATGAAAGTCAGCCAAACTATTATTTTCTGGAAATCTGAAGTTCACTGAATTGATTATAGGAAACACCAGAAGATTTCCTCCCACTCTGAGGAAAAAACGATGGTGGAAGTATGAAGTGTTATGAAAAGACCCTCTTGAACAAAATTTTCCTACAGAACATTTCATAGATTCATTCTCACATACACACTTCAATATGTCTGAAAGTTATTCTGAGATAGGCATTACTGGTCTTACACTATAAATCTAAATGTTACGTCAATATAAATAATAATTTTAAATTTCCATAGCTGTTTTCAGATATGTTAACAATACATCAAAAGGGGAAATTAATCTTAACTTTCCGGCATTTGAAATAATAGCTCCACACTTCCCTCTAAACCCATTTTTAATAATAACAAGTTGCATGACATCTTGTCTTAATGTTTTCTTACTGAGCTGTACAATTTGCAATATGTTGATCCTAAAGTCCAGTTTTGTTCCTCAATAGATGGCTACAAATTTTTGTTTATCATAACGAAAAATCATACATGACTCTTTAATGTTAATCCAACTTAATGAATACTTACACAAACACTTTGGTAGTGATCTATCCCATAAGCCATTAGCTTTACAGGTCAAAGCAGATGAGCCCAACAGATAAAAGCCCTTCTTGCAATGGTATGCCACGCTTGTTCCGTATTTGAAACTTTCAGGATAATTCTGCTGCCCATGCCGAATTGCATTTTCCACAAAGCCAGGATCAGAACAGTTCACCACTGTAAGACAAACAGTGTTCATCACTGATGCATAATAGCAATGTCATAAATAAATTATAACAGTGATTTTTTTGTTACTTTACTTAGCAGCTCATGACTGTGGTCCATTTGATATCCTTTGTGTTTTTTCTTTGACTTAAATATCAGGTATGTTGACTCCTAAGTAAGTCACCAGACCTTTCTGCTTTGAAAGCAATACTGTGATTTTACTCCAGTTCCTGTAGTAGTCTTGGACATACAAGTGGTTTGAAGGTAAAAGAGTAATTGGAGGAATTTTTTATCATTCACTTGATAGGCTTAGTTTGGTCTTCTGTGTAATCTTTATGTGAAGGAAACCAAATTAAAATCAACGCAGTACATAATTTAAGTAACACTTTAACATTTTCTTTTTTAATTTCCTGTAATGAGAAAAATTGGTTCCAACATTAACAAGAACATTTTCCACTATTAATGTGTAGAACAGAAAGCGGAAGGTGGTGAAAAATCAAGTATTTGATAGTGGAGTGGGAGAGAGCGTAAATACCAAAAAGCATGAAACTGTTTTTCAGACAGCGATTAAAAACCTAAACTGTTTAGTTTTTATATAAGGTATATCCACCCTTCCCAATCCTTTGTTTTATACCCTGCAGTGAACATGATGGTTTCTTGGTAGAAGATTATGATTGAGACACTGCGATCTCCATTACAAACGCGCAGTTTTGCTGTCTATTCATCTGAAAGCTATCTGAAAAGTTACAAAGTTATCCTCCACCCCTCCCCTGTGTTCACTCTAAATAAAATGGTATAAATAAAAAGACTTAAAATATTATTAGCATTATAAGTTAAAGCTCATCAAAGACAGGAATCTACCTTTCAAGTATATCACCTAGTTCAAATTAATTTTCATGAAAAAGAAACCAGTGGTGAAGAAGGTCAGATAGCATACAGAGTCACTAATGCACTGGTTTTTTACTCCTGAATCATATTTTTTTCAAAAAGTGAAGTTTTATTATACATATAATTTAAATTTACTGATTAGCTAATACAGTAGAACAAGTCAGCTTTTGCAAATGTTCATTCATTGAAAAAATGTTTAATTCAATCTGATAAAAATTATCAGGATTTTAAAGAAATATTAACAACCTAGAATTTAATTTTGGGTGAAAAACAGTTAAAATCATGTTTATTTCTCTTGCTCTTTTAAAAGCACTATCTTAAAAGTATTTGTGGTGGGTTGACCCTGGCTGGATGCCAGGTGCCCACTCGAGCCACTGTCCTTAGCTGGACGGGGGAGAGAAAATATAAAGGAAGGCTCACGGGTAGAGATAGGGGCAGGGAGACATCACTCACCAGATACTGTCACAGGCAACATAGACTCAACTTGGGGAAATCAGTTTAATTTGTTGCCAATCAAAACCAGAGTAAGATAATGAGAAATAAAACCAAATCTTAAAGAAACTTTCCTGCCACCCCTCCCCCTCCCTCCTTCCCGGGCTTAACTTTATTCCTGATTTTCTCTACCTCCCCCCCGGCAGCAGCACAGGGGGAGTGGGAATGGGGGTTGCCATCAGTTTGTGACACATTGCTTCTGATGCTCGTTCCTCCTCAGGGGAGGAGTCCTCACACTCTTCCCCTGCTCCAGCGTGGGGTCCCTCCCACAGGAGACAGTCCTCCACAAACTTCTCCAGTGTGAGTTCTTCCCACAGTTCTTCACGACCTGCTCCAACCTGGCTCCCTTCCATGGGGTGCCATCTTTCAGGAACAGACTGCTCCAGAATGGGCTCCCACGGGGTCACAGCCTCCTTTGGGCATCCACCTGCTCCGGCGTGGGGTCCTCCCCAGGCTGCAGGTGGAGATCTGCTCCACCGTGGAGCTCCATGGGCTGCAGGGGGACAGCCTGCCTCACCATGGGCTTCATGATGGGCTGGAGGGGAATCTCTGCTCTGGTGCCTCAAGTGTCTCCTCCCCCTCCTTCTTCACAGACCTTGGTGTCTGCAGAGTTGTTTCTTTCACATTTTTCTCACTCCTCTCTCTGGCTGCATTTGCTGTTGCACAGCAACTTCTCCCCCTTCTTAAATATCCCAGAGGCGCTGCCACCATCCCTTGGTGTCTGCAGAGTTGTTTCTTTCACATTTTTCTCACTCCTCTCTCTGGCTGCATTTGCTGTTGCACAGCAACTTCTCCCCCTTCTTAAATATCCCAGAGGCGCTGCCACCATCTCTGATGGGCTTGGCCTTGGCCAGTGGCAGGTCCCTCCTGCACCCATCTGGCATAGTCTCTGTTGGACATAGGGGAAGCTTCTAGCAGCTTGTCACAGAACCCATCCCTGTAGCCCCCCCGCTACCAGACCCTTGCCACACAAACCAAATGCAGTATTAAATGTTCCTGATTTCAATCTTGCAATAGATTCTAGACAAGCAATACCTATGTCTAAAGAATGTCCCATATGAATCCGAATTTCTCTTCACAAAAATTATTTTAGAAGCAATATTTGGGGGTTGGGGAAGAGGGACAAGACTCTTTGGCATGAAGCAAACCTATTTGCCATCTACCGACTGTTATTAAAAACAGTGAAGATAAAATTACACAGAAAAGCACAATACATTTAAAAAACATTAGATATTACAATAATGTACATAAAGCATTAGTAAGGCATTATCTATACTGATGAAGAGACATGGTTGATGAAAGAGACTTGCTGTTTTTTTTTCCTGAGGAGTAGTAAAGCTACAGAGTCTCCTAATTGAAACTATTCCCATTCTGGTGGGAATGGGTTTTATGGTGACTCTTATGAAATAATTCACCAGAGAAGCTACATTTAGCTTACATTATAAGAGTTTAGTTTATATTTCATACTACCAACATTTATTCAAACTTAGTTTTATAACCTTATAAATGTTATACATAAATCAAGTATGTGCAGATTAATAAATATGTGTTTACACTGGGATTTCATTGACAGAAGCAAATATCTTTTTACTTCCTGATTTTTTGTCTGTCCCATAAAAGAGGGGAAAATACAAAGTCCTAAAATCTCATTGCTTTTTGGAAGCTGTGAAAGATTTGGATGTGGAAATTTGTGTCTTGTACTTGCTTTGAAGAACTCTGACAATTCCTGCTTCTGGGGATCTCTATTTTAGAATACCATCAGGAGGAAATGCTCTATTCTTTTTACATTACACAAAAAATGTATTTCATTCTTTGTTACTGCTTTTTTCCATTATTACCAATCACTATCAACTAGGTCTAATTCTTTCACTGGCAATATCAGTATTACTGTAAAACAGAGACACAAGTGAAAGTTTGTGCCCACTGACATGAAGCCCTACCAAAATACTAAGCTAGAGCTCGCATGTCTGTATTCACAGTGCAATTCTTCGTTACAGAAAGTAGCACAGCTCCCAGAAGCAATGCATGCTGCATCCCAATTAACCCTGTTTCTTAGGCAATTAGACATAGCGTAGTGCTGCGTAGGTGCTGCTGTAAAGCTTCTGCTTTTGGAACTAGCCTGCATCTTCTGCATAGTTATAAATTGCCTTGTAAAACATATTCTTAAACTCAATCCCTCTACATATGTATATACTTTCCTTAACATTTTAAACTACATCTGTATCAATATGAAAAATACCAGCACCTGTTCTCTGGCATGAGGGCAGGAGACAGTGGCCACATCTATGCTGTTGTGCTCTGCTACCTTCCAGACTCGGGTGAATTTCTCTGAACTGCTCATCAGGAATGGTCCTGCTGCCCATGCTAATTCCTGAACCATGCACCAAACAATTCCCGTGGATGTGCTACTTGGTTCAAAATAAAAACTTGTTGGAGAACCTTCTTAGTAGAGGCAATTAAGTCTCCATGCCTAGGCACTGTTTAGTTTAAAAATATAGATACATTTAATTTCAAATGAATATTTAACGATTTTTTATTTAGCTAAAACTGCTATTATGTGGTAATGTAGTTTTGATCCCCAACTTCACAAGAACACAATATCAGTATTGTGACCCACCATACCACAAATTGATGTCCAAGGTTGTGTGGAATATTTGTACTGATGCAGAACTGAACTCAGGTCTTCTGAGACCTATGTTCATACTCTAATCAGTACACCATTTTACAATGAAACTGCATACTGAAAAGTAACTACAGCAAAATAGCACTTTTCCATTCTACTGATATCTACATATTTTAGCAACCATCTTGATTACCATTATCAGAAGCAGCTCTTTCTTTAAATAATAATAAAATATTAAAAAACAGTCCTAGGAACAGTTTCTGGAATCAAATCTGTTTACTGTAATTGAAGGGACTAAGAACTAGATTAGAGGCTCTCTTGCACCTTTTTCTGACCATTAAAAGATCTTAACTTCTGACCCTCAAACCAACAAACCACGGACAGGAGGTATAAAGAATACCCACCTACAGAGCACAGGAGAATCTTTTAGAAGAAGTAATTGATATTCTGCAGGCTGATTAAGAACTTAGACTTTATATATTTCACATCCTAATCATAGAATTGTTTAGGCTGGAAAAGACCTTTAAGATCATTGAGTCCAACTGTAAGATCATTGAGTCCAACTGTAAGTTGGAGCCAAGTGAGAGCTTGTCTACCACTGCCATTTTAAAAAGCCATTGCTATGTTTTCTAGAAAGTCTACATGAAGACAGAACGAATGCTCTGCAACCGCTTTGCTATGAAGAATCACAGAATCACAGAATCACTAGGTTGGAAAGGACCTTCAAGATCATCAAGTCCAACCATTAATCCAGCGCCACCATGTCCCCTAAACCATGTCCTTTAGGGGTTGTGTGCCACATCCACACGTTTTTTGAACACTTCCAGAGATGGCGACTCCACCACCTCCCTGGGCAGCCTGTTCCAATGCCTGGCCACCCTCTCAGTGAAGAAATTTTTCCTAATATTCAATCTAAACCTCCCCTGGCACAACTTGAGGCCATTTCCTCTTGTCCTATCACTAGTTACCTGGGAGAAGAGACCAGCGCCCTCCTTTCAGGTAGTGGTAG